CAAAGTATCCTTTTTGAAAACACCGTTAAAATGAGTCATTTTAATTTCATTGCCAAAACATCCTAATAGATGTAAAGTGTCACACAACGAAGCTACACAAATCTCTTTCGGCTCAAAACGCATGGTTGTGACTAAAGTTTGAGATACCATTTGCAGCAGAAGAATTAAATCATCCTGTGCTATAGCCTCTTTCACTTCTTCTTCTTCTAAATCGCCTTCTTTAATTTCTTCCCCTTTCTTATCTAAGTCGTCACACAATTTACCTTCCAGTTTACCAAAAATACTAGTTAAATAAAGCTGCTTTACGGAATACGGTACGTACACGATGAGAATCATTTATACATCCCAAGAGCATATTAAGTATTTGCATTCTAAAATCTACTTGATGAGGATACATTGAATGGTCTGGCGGTGAGCGCGGCGTATTTTGTTTGTCAATCTAAAATTAAATAGAAATAAGTAAATAAATTATAAATAACAATGAGTAAAGATAAATGCAAACTTATCTTAGGAATATAGCGAATATTCATTCATTGTGAGGAGGTACAGAGGACTGGACCCGCGAAGGCGCATGCTAGGGCTAGTCGGTGCATCAGTCTCGTCAGTGCTAGTGTCAGCGTCGCTTGTAATGTTTATCAGTCCTCTTAGTACATCATCTATGGATGATGCATTTAACACGCCCCCTCCTTAAACCCAAAGAAGCCCTCCATCTCTAAACGGATACTTTCCTCTCTTTTTCTGTCACGCTCGAGTTGTTTTTTAAATATCTCCGCGGCCCGCTTAAACATTAACTCATGGACATACCTAGACGCAACTGAGCGACTGCGCGGTCATAACAAGCTAAGCTTAACAGAAAGCTGAGCGAAAATAAATTATTTTTAAGGGCCTCTTGTTCACATCTTTCATTATTGCAAATAGAGCAGCGATGGCATCGTACGCGTAAAAGTATTCTACTTCGAACATATATGTTATAATAAAAATATTTATAATAAAAGTATGCTATCCTATATATATTATTCGGGAATGTTCATTGTTAAGTAATTATGAAGGGTTCACAGTTGACCATAATTTTTGGTAAACGAAGCAAGCAGATATCAACGTGTTTAATGATAAATATAAGGAACATTTTTCTCTTTTTATGTTTGCCATTTTTTGCTTGCTTTATTACTGCTTTTTTTTCATCATTTTTCTTATTTATTAAAAGCAACTCTGTGCTCTCTTCATTCTCCACAAATGGTACATTTTTTATAAACGGTTTAAAGGAAAAAACCAGCTAGCGGTTTTTAGCAAAAATTCAAAGCCATTTCACAAGTGCAAAAAGAAGTTTGACAAAGTGAAAAATTGCGAAAAAATATTTAAAAAAATAATTTAAACGTTTAAAAATTAGAAGAAGAAGCTAAAACATTTTTATAAAATAAATAAAAAAAAAAACCAAAAAATTATGAAATTTAAAAAAAATTTTATGTATTAGAAAAGTTTGGAGAAAGAAAATATATATAATTTAATACGTTAAATAAGTGTACGGAATTTGATAATAAAAGTTAAATAAATATAAATCATTTAAACAAATAAGAGTTTGTAGAATAATTATGAAAAAGTGTACCTTCAAGTAATATAAGAGCATTGACGGTAAGGTGCATTTACTTATTATTTACTTATTATTTACTTATTATTTTATATATTTCATTTTTTGTCAAGGAGATCCATCTGAGATTCATATAGTGTCCCTGGGAAAGTCCACAATAAAAAGACCAATTTACAATATATATACTGGCAATTTATATTGGCGGCATTAGAACAATAAGTATGTGTGCCACCATATTAATTTATATTATATTAGCCATTGCTTTTTTTAGATTTTTGGATTTTTTTATTTTGGATAAAGCAAAGCATAAGAAATACCGGCGTTAACAGATTATTTGTTGAAAAATTAGAGTAAATGATTTCCATTGAAGTCAGGTTTTCTTTAAATTTAATTTTTATATCTGTAGTGTTATTAGTTTCTTTTTTAGTAATATTTTATAGAAAAGAGTATACAAATAAATAGTTTTATTATATTAGTTCTAATATTTGTTTGTTCATTAGTATTATTAATTATTATCCCAAATTTAATGAGAATTTTATTAGAATGAGATGGTTCAGTGTTAGTCTCTTACTGTTTAGTAATTTATTTTCAAAATGTAAAGTCTTTTAATGCAGGAATATTAACTGCTTTGTCAAACCGATTTGGAGATATAGCTTTATTATTAACAATTGCTTGAATATTAAATTACGATAGGTGAAATTATATTTTTTATTTAGATATTATAAAGAAGATTATTCGGTAGTTTTAATTGGAAGATTAATATTATTAACAGCAATAACACAAAGCGCTCAAATTCCATTTTCGTCACGACTTCTCGCAGCTCTTGCAGCTCCCACACTTGTATCTGCATTAGTCCATACTTCTTCCACTTTGGTTACTGCCGGAGTATATTTATTAATTTGTTTTAATTTAGTTTTAGTGAAAAATTGAATACGTACAATATTATTATTATTATTATCAGGTTTAACAATATTTATAGCTGGGTTAGGGGCTAACTACGAATTTGATTTAAAAAATAGATTTGTAGATTAAGTTAAAGCGATTTCTGCCTCAAAAATTAAAAAAGTTATTGTAATTAAAAAAAATCGTAGGAAAAAAGGATTTGGAATCAAATCGGCATTCAAAAGGAGATATTTTTTCTCCATCAATTAGAGTTTTTTTTTGATAAAATTTAAGAAAGTAATAAAAAAATATAACTTATTAAAGAAATAGAAAAGGTTATCTATACTATTTCATAGACCTTACGATTGGAAGTCATATATGCTTATATACTATACACTACTATATTTAGTCATTCCGCACGTTTCATATAACCGATCACTCAGATAGTGTGGCTTATATTTGTATCATGGTGACAGTCATAGGGAGGCAGGGAAAGAAATAATCCCAGCCTAGTGACTCATCGACTAAGCACTCACTATAGCTAAGACCAAATCTAAGCCGCTGACACCATCGATACACCACGTGCCGAAATAAGCGACCGTAAACAAATTCCATACCACCCGAAATATTTATGAAGGTATGCGCTATGAGCTGTACAGAAAATCGACCCACCCTTAAGTTGTTTCAGATCATGCCTAACGCTTTATAAAGTTTTTCTTTACTTGTAAACAGTCACTGCCCGGTTTAGTTCTAAGCAAAGCCTATCAGCCAGTTCCTTGTATTATCCGTTAGTCGACGCCGCCCGAGGATGCCACAGTATGGGGTATTCCTGGAGTAGCGTACTTAGCACAGCATGCGTCATTTGCTTATTTGCCATAGTATGGCGATCTAATAATGCTATGTGCCATAGTATAGCGATCTAATCTAATCAACTATATCCGGCAATATGTAATATATGTTTTATATAATATACAGAAGACGGTAGAGAAGTGCTCTGCCGTTTGATTTTATTAAAAATATGGAAGGTTTCTTGAACCTTCAGTAAACGTTATTTATATTTAGTGAAGTTAAACATGAAGAACATGTTAAACTTGTTCCCGGCGAAACTATAAAATTTTTGAGATATTTTGATGAAAATTGATATGCCCAAACATTTTGTCCTAACGACTAACGCTATAAAAAATGGCGCGGATCGGACCACTTTTTCGATCACTTCCCACATAATAATTTATTTTAAAAAGTCGTTAAATGAATAATTAATGTATTAAGCGAAGGGATGCAGGATTTAATGATGAGCGGTATCCTATTATAGCGTTTTTACTAGTTTTTTTCCCGAGTACATTGAAAGATTGGAAATCTCTGGCTATTGTTATCGGTCTATCAAACAGGCCCATCGAGCATAAATTAAAAAAGAAAGTAACTTTACAGTTTGCTTTGCAAAAATAATAACATTCTGTAAATGCTATTTGATATTTATTTTATATTTGCACACATAATAGTTTCTATAATAATTACACATAATCTGTAGTCACATGTAGATAAATACGATCATAATTGGTTTCGATTTTATACTAAAATATTTATCTTTCTTGAACAAAACATATACATATACACTAAAACCTTTCTCTATATCGTCCTTAGCCTTATACTGGAACAAAAATTTTATTAAATTATAAAATATTAAATTATGTAACAACTTGCTCTAAGTAAACTGTTACTTAATATATAAATAAAACATTCCTTATTACCTTTTTCCCTTTTTTTTTATTGGTCTCTTTTAAACTATTGATAACACAATGCAAAAAAATACAATTGAAGTTAACGAAATTTTGATATGAATTATGATACACGTCCTAACAGACCTTTGTCGTAATCGTTGGTTGTACGCAAAAGTTTGACGCGCTCAGAAACTACTTTTAAAACCACCAAAGTTGTTACTATGTAAAAGACGAAAGCATAATACATCTGAGACGATTTCCAACTAAAAGTTACTCGTCCCGCCTGCCGTGTCAAGGGCATCACTCCAAGTATTACAAATAGTTTTATCAATAACTTATGATCCCGATAAAACTGTAACAGCGAGAAACGGCTTTAAATCTTTCATCTCTCTCTCTCTCTCTCTCTATGCAATTTTACCTGATCATATAATTCTGCTGTCTGGCCATGCCTTTCAATTTGGCACGTTTTGCACGCATGGTCAAACGTTCGATTAGGTCAGGATTATTATTTGAATTTTTTATGAATTTTTTTCGTTTTTCACTTTTAAGCAATTTTTCCATATCATCTGTTAATATAGACAAGTCCAGAGCAGAGTCGAATTCTTGTTCCGTTATAATATCCATAAGAATTGTTCATCAGTTTACTTTTATTATTACTTAGAACGTCACAACTCAACTAAGGAAAATTAAACAAAATTAGTTCCTTTTATAAATCCTAAGCCATAAGTCATTAGTTTCTAAAAAAGTTAAACATTTCTCTCGCCCTTGTCTATGTAAAGAGGTTTAAATAGGCAAGAGAGTTTGTCATAATTTATTATTTAAAATAAAGCAATTAATAGTTCACACCTGCATAGAAAAAAAAGAACAAACGTAAGCATTATCTAAACAAAACCATAACAAATATAAATTTTTCTTTATACATTTGTAGTTGATTTATCCAAAGAAAATTTAAATTGTATCAAGACTAATAAGTAAACCGTGATCATACCAATCGACTGAAAGTTAAAAGCAAAAAAAAAAATTATTCCAAAATTCGTTTTTCATAAAAGACACATCACCAAAATTCACAACTTACTCCAGAGAGAAGTTCACGATTTACAGTAACGTAGCCTTTTAAACTAACTATAGCTGGATTCATTTCGATGGCCACTATGAACAAATCAATTTCGTTTTTAGCCTCCAAATCGGGTTTGAGCAAATTAATGGACAGTAATTTCTTTTGTATACCCTTCGGCACACCGAGTGGCATTATGAGAGCAATCGCAAAATATAAATAATAAAGTGCAGCAATATACGACATCAACTATCAGTTTAGCCTCTTTATACGAAATGATATAGCCGTGTTTATGATCAACAATTTCAGCGAATGCTCCATATACCGCTATAACAATATTAACGAATCTATAAAATGAAAATTATTCTTTAAAAATAAGATTTAAAAATGTATTTTGTAAACTTCGTCCTCTCTCCGTTCAATTGCATATGCACGCTACCAGATGTCATTGCATATGTTCAACAAAATTCCTTTTAACGCTACTCCTTGTAGATTTTCAAAGCATACAATCCTTTTTCCCCTTCAGATGGACCTAACAAATAATTAAAGACGCACCATATATTTTGTGCAAGTTGGAAGTTATGGACTGAACACTATTCAACTATTTTAACTAGTATGGGATGCGTTAAGCCTATTTTAAGCTACAACGTTAAAGAACATCACTACGCCGTTGTCGACAAGAAAGAAATCTGAGAAGGTGTACAACAGTTAAAAGAGTCACATTCTTCTTTCTATACAAATTATTGGGAATATATATGCTTATTCTTTAAAGGCAGCAAATTTCATGCAAATGCATGCAAAATTATCGACAATTGTAAACAAACGTATATGCTTATTCTCAGTTGTATCGAGCATAATCTTTGGGAGTATATTGATGATCTTTTTTTTTATTATTGATAATCCAGTGATCGGAGTTAATTATTAAGGAATTCTCAATTTGTAAGGAACTTGAGGCTTTAATTACATATTTAAAAGCCTTTACAGTTGCTATCTTTATTATCTTTGATTTGCATGCTTATTTATCATTTTTTTATAGCGCAATGGACTATTATATCTTAAAAATTGTAAACCACATTTCCACAGGCGACCAACCAGAGCCCGATTGATGTACACTTTCCCCTTCTTCGCCCAGCAAACATTGTGAAGGCTATCTGAATTTCTTATCGCGACTGAGATAGTAAACTCGGTCTGTTGAATCTGTTCTCGATATTTAGACGGTTGTTACTCGTTTATTGCTTTTTTCATTTTTATGTTGCTAATCCTTATGACTTTAAATATTTTTAAAATATTTTTCTGTAAAAGTACAAAAAAACAATTCAGATAATGAGAGATATGCAGATGCCACGAAATATTTAAAAACTCCTAACTAATAAAATAATGGAAACAATTATTAGTCTTATACCCACTTTTAATTTGTCGAATTTCTTCAATTTAAAGACTAAACTTTTGTATAATTTTCTTTACTCAAATGACTTGAAGCTCTTTTTATTTGAAATTTTTTTTCTTTTTCTCACTATGTACACCTCTAAAATGAATTTGAATTAACTTACTTTACCCTCCACATGGCTTATAAAAAGTACCGTATGTTCAGAATTGTGAGAGCACAGAGTTCTTTTCAATAAATGTGAAATTTGTGATGTTAATGTGAAATGAATGAAAAATACACAAAAGCTACACAATTTTCTATGAATCTAAACAAAATCCGTACATCTTTATATGAAAATCCATACATTCGACTGTGAAAATGACCAAAATCCGCAAATCTTTCTATGAAAATCCATACATTTGCCTATGAAAATGATGAAAATCCATACATTTTTCTAAGAAAATAAACAAAAGCTCAAAGAGATTCTTCCCGCAACATTTTTATTTTGTTTATGTTTCTATGGCATGTGTTTCATCCTACTATATGGAATTTTTTACTAAACACATCTGTAGCATATCAGATTCGCTAATTAAATAAATTTTCTTTATTGTATGTAAAAACCAAATAAAACGAAAATTTGAAAATTTATCAAATATCAATTTATTTGTGTTTTTTACAGCACAATATGGGAGAATTAATTACAACTTTTGCATTTATTTTACAATAATTTAAAGACTTTTTTTACAGGACATAAGTTGGATTTTGATGTTAATAAAAATGAAAGCTTAGTTTATGGCAGTCTTGTATAATTACCAAAGAAAAAACGTGGAAAGTCGTAAAAATATAAGAGTGTTTAATACTTCCTAACATCAGTACTGCGAAAAAAAAGAACAGATTATTGTAAAGTTAAGAACGGAAGAAACTGAATTGTTTTTCATTCCGATTTGCTCAACGTTCTGTAAACAGTAAATCTCCAAACCAATAATAAACCGACATTTTTGTTTTCCTTCGCTTAGTAAAATTATTATAAAATGATTTTAAGCATTAGCTGAAGCTTTATCCCAATCTAAACGACACATCTGCCCTAAATGCCAGCGAATATGTTATACATTTAACTGATGTACGTCTCTTTCAGATCAAAATAAATCAAAAATATCTTAAACCTATGAAACAAAGACATGCACTACTGGACTAAATGAGGAGATTAGCTTGGCCTTACTGCTAAAAGTAAATATTCACAAATGATAAAGTTTCATTGGTTTAAGACAAACGATGTGCAACACTCTGACTAAGTGAGAATTGATGATTTAAAGGAAGTAATTACAAATAACACAAGCTCATATTTCATTAAGATGAGACTAAAATAAGGCTTAATAAGGTCGTGTAGTGAAAATAAACTAAACTATGTTAAATTAGTTTTTAACTTTATCCTCAAGGCTTATACTAGACAAAGTCTTCTTAATTCTAAGAGCAGTCAAGCGAGCAACAGGATTAGGATACCAGCACTCTTTCATCACTTTTGCCATACTGTGCATAACTTCTGAAGCGTGCCAGCGATTTGGAATGTTAGGGCGCATTTTATCTGTGCAAACCACCTAGAAATAGAAACGGATATGCACTGTCAAACCATAAATTTAATAGCTTTAGCGAAGACAAACCTTCTTCATTTCTTCAATGCTAGGATCGGGCTGCACGACGTCAAAGTAGGGCAATTGGTAGTCATCATACATCATCCCTATATTGCAGCGACGTGCTACTTCCCACAATATTAATCCAAAAGCATATACATCGGCTCGTTTGTAAGAATCAAAATGTTGAGCATTCATGCTTTCATCTAATACTTCCGGAGCCATATAACGTTTCGTACCTACCCGATGTGTCGAGGGTATGTCCACTGAATCATTTTTTTCCACATGTCGGACGGCCAATCCCAAATCTCCTATCGCGCAAGTCAAATTCGATTTGACTAATATATTTTTCGATTTTAGATCACGATGTGCTATGGCAGGCTTGCCACGGGTGCCGACAATATCCATATGTAGATGTGCTAGGCCAGTGGAAATTGACAACGCCATGCTAAGCATGGTTTTGGTGTCAACAGTGTGAGAAGTCAAATAATCGAATAATGAGCCATTTTCATGATAATCCGTTACAAGCCATAACTGTGTCCAAGTGCCATTATCTGAAAATTTGGTTGGTTTTTAGAATATAATCACAGATATCAGATTAGAATATAATCAGACATATCACAGTTATGTCGCTTTCTGCAATTTTAAATGGAAATTAGTTTCATTGCAATTTTAAATGGAAATTAGTTTCACCACATGTCTTCATATTTGACATAAAATTTATCATTAAAGGCAAAATTCTGTCCGATACTTCGCAACTAATGCTTCCGATCATTATCCTCTTCGAAAAGCAATCTTTTTGCGCCTAATCATTTCAATTTTCACAAACCTTGTCGCGAGGTATAATTAGCATATTTTTAACTTCCTTAAAATTAGATTAATTTCATGGCTTTTTAGGATTGTAACACTAAAAGATCAATATTACACATTTAGGAAAGTCGATCATTATAAGTTTTGCCTTCTATGCCGGAAAGCCGTATAAATTCGCAATGAAAATATGTTTTCGAAGTCACTTGTGAGCTTACTAACCAACCTTTATTATCTGCAGCTATAAAACCTAAAATATTTTCGTGACGCAGCATAACGGTTTGATAGATTTCGGCCTCTCGAAACCATGAACATTCTTCGCGGCTTGAGAAAATTTTTACCGCTATGTTCTCACCCCGCCAACGACCTCTCCAGACCTCTCCAAAACGGCCTTTTCCGATTACATGGCACAACTGAATTTGTCGAGCTATAGAGCGCTGTACTAGTAAAGGAAGGCCAGCTGAAAAAAAAGCGTTAACTTTCCCAAATAAGAAAATCAACCTTAACACAGCAAACAATATCGAACCTGATCCTGAACCAGAGCTAGTCATCTCAATAATATCTTGTAAAGTATTGCCATTAAGGATAGGATCGTACACTGAGTCTTCAGGAGCGAAGGGTCGACCTCTTGTCCCTTGTTTACGTTTCTGCCAATAGCACCAGACTAAAAACACCAAAAGGCAGCCCACTAAGGTTGCACCAAATATAATGGCGACCAGCACCCAAGTCTTAAGTGTTTCCTCCGGCTGAATATCTGCATTGATTTTAAATTATTTTAAAATTTATTCATTTACGTTCATTTCTCGTTTTTACCTCACCTTTAGTTAATTATTGAGTAAAAAGGCATGCATATGATTCACATATATATCTACATATTTACATATAAGGAATAATTAACTACTTTGTATACGTAACAAATCAAGGTAGAATAATGTACAATTACCGATAACCTTAACTTTGTTGTACCCAACACCAAAAAACCTATTTATGCACTGAAAGCTTTGAAAATAGTCATAAACCAATTACTCTCAAATCAATTTTTCAATCTTATTCCGAGCATTGCTATATCTGAAATATCATACTATAAAAACAATGATAGCAATCAAAAAAGATTTTAAATGTACTATCTTCTGAGAGCGTACATTTGACCATCATCTTTAATTCAAACGGACAAATTTATGTGATTTTGATGCGATTACTCGCCATCTACTGCCATCGCTTTAAATTGCGACTGTAATCTTAAAAAACTATGTCTAGCGTCGGCTTTAAACGTTTTTTGTCCAGAGAAATCCGATCATAATTAATGAAAAGCAGATAATTTATGTATGAATATATCTAATAAATGGATGTTTGCCTTAAATTGCAATTAACAACCTTGTGCACAAGCTAGTGGTGGGTATTAAATATTCGGCCCGCAAGCCGATTAAAACTCTTTTTAGCCTTTTTTAGTTCCTTGTATATATATTTTAAAAAAAAGGAAGCCAAATTCATCGCACATACTATACATTGAAATAAAAAAAGTAAAATCAATTTTATTTACACAAGCAAAAAGAAACTATCCCACTTTAAATTAAAAAAAAAAATTGATTCATCATGCGTTCAAGACGTACACAATTTATACAGAATTATCAAAAATTTAGAATTTATTAATTAACAACAATTGATTTACATAAATTTTAACTTTGTCGACATTCACATAATGAATTTGAAAGGTAATGACGTTGACTTTGAGCTTTAGTTTTCCATTTTATAAAACGAACGTATTAGGAAAAAAATGAAAAAAAATAATTTTTTTGCAAAAACGAGGAGACACGTTCCTGCTTCGTTCTTATGCATGTATTTTTGCTGATATAAAGGCAAAGTAAAAGGAACGGGAGTAACAGTCACGTCTGATGTTTCGCCTCGGCTAATAATATTTGAAACACCGTGGGACACTGCGACAACACTTTTATAAGGACATATGAATTTTTTTATGAAGAATCAATATTATGAATGCTGGCGAAATTTATTTCAATTTCACTTAGAATAGACAAACAAGATTTTTATTCTCACCTGGCAAAATGCCGACGAAATTGTTCTTATCGTTACAAAGATCTTCTTCACAACATTGCACCAATGATGTCGAGGTATTTTCATGACACCAGGCTGGATCTTCAGGTGGAACATGACTTTCTGCAGACATACATCTAATCAAAGGGGCATAGGTATATGTAACAGACGTAATATTTTCACAATTTTTTACAATTTATACAGAAAATTAACCTACTGATAAATGCAATTACAATGCAAATCCATACATCTATGTATATTTGTAACGGTATTGTTACATTGTCAAAATCAATTGTCAAAATTATTTAATTCTTATAAATAAATATAAGCATCAGTCGACATAATTTAACTTAGCTCATCCTTGACCCGTGGCAACGCTCTAAAATTTCAGGGACTACAATAGCCTGATTTCTGAATGATTCCCTATTCAAAATCAATGCTAGTGAATTGGAAATTATAAATAAAATATGCGTACATACAGAAACGAACCAAACAGCAGCAAGGAAAACCAAAACGGTTTTAAAAATCGGTTCGTTCAAATGTTACGTACGTTAGATTCATTGGTCAATAAGAAATAACTATCCCTTAACTCATTAACCTTTGTAGATTGTCCGACTACGTTCCCAATGTAGTCATTTTATAATTTATTCGCTATTTTTTTTAAAAGAATAAAAAAATGTTTCACGCCAGACTTTTTAGTAATCAGCAAAAAGAAAATACGGTATTGGTCATACCTTCCCGAAAGATGTTTTTCCTCTTTAAAAATATCTTCTTGAAAGATGTTTTTCCCCTTTCAAAATGTCTTCGTTAACATTTACTATTAAATTAATTAATAAAACGGTGCATGCATTAACATAGTTTAATAGTTTTAGTTTCTTGATAAAACAATAAGCTTCGCTGAAAATTATAAGTACTTATATATCAACTTATCTAAGAGATGTATACGGAAACTAAGTTTATTATAAAAAGAGGGGAAGTGCAATTCGTTTTTACTATCATATCATATTAAATATAATTAAGAGCAAAAGAATGTAAAAAAAGTGTGCAAATTAAAAGTAGCAGTAGGGCAATAATCAAAACGTCCACCAAGAAAATCGTAGTTATGCTATTAGTAAGAAATCTATGAAATTTTGCTTTTAGGAGACCCTTTACAAAGTGCATTAATACAGTGTAAAATGCAAAAAAAAAAAAAGAATGCGTGTATAAGTGTCATGAAATCGAATGCCGTCGTGTTTTGTATCTTACATAGATTTTTTAAAAAATATTTTGTATGTGTTTGTAATAAATAATATTAGATGCGAAATAGAGGCGGAATTTATTGGAATATATAACAAAAAATTATAAGCGAATCAACAGACATTTCTTTAAAGTGTATAACGATTATTTGTTAAAAATGTGAATATTGCGTTTAACTTGTTGGAGTACCTTCAACAAAACTCAACTTTAAGAGCTCATTCCTATTGCAGAAATCCTCATCACAACATTGCACTCTATAGACATTCTGTTTTTGCTTGCTCGTCAAACATTCAAGCGGCTCTCGTTGGAGATCATATTTTTTAGCAAGACACCTAGCAACAAACGAAGCATTCAAATTGGGATCTCTTTACTAAAGCAGTTATAATAAAACATTTTTTATGTAATGCTATAAAAACAAGGTCCTCTAATTGCTCCTATAACATGTTAAGACAAATAATTGGACGGTGGTTAGTAAAAATTCATCGATAAACAATAAAAGATAAAATGCTATAAATCGTGGGAGCAGAAGTCGCAAGAAACATTTCAATTCACAAAAATTCGTAACATAATTATCAAATGAAACTTCTTTTGCGTAACGTAGTTAAGGGTGTAAGGTATTAAGTTATAATGCAACGTTATTTTTGACAGTGATTGAGTGACAAAACAAATGAATATGAAGGCACTCGTTTCAAAGCTCAATACCAACAACAGATAATTTAGGTCTGATTCTTGCAATTTTTTATGGACTTTAAGGTCATTAGAAAGCGGTGCCTGACATAAACGAGCCCACCTGCTTGTTGCGCGTTAAGAGAGCTGTAAAACTTGATAACTGGACGTAAATTTAAATTGCAAAAATCATAGTCCCTGCAACAGCTATGGCCGCCTCGCTTAGCTACTGGCCGAGCTGTGGGTCCACCATGGCTTCCGTCATTGCACCATATAAAACGACCCGGTGGAAAACTTTGTGACATATTGAGGCATCTAAGATTCACCACGCAAACATGGTGATATCCCATTATAATTATGAAAAATATTTATGTAAACAAGACAACGCAATAAATCAACGAAAAAAACTACAAAATACAGATCATACCTATAGCTAAATATTATTTCTCCTTTGTCACGTTCAACAGAAGTAAAACAATAGCCGTCCGTTTCACAAATGTTATTTGATTCCTTGCATATGTCACAATGGCATTTTAGGAGAGCTAGAAAGAGAAAAATCATTTTAAATTTTCACTAGCTTGGCCTTCAAATAAGTTTGGTAAGGGTGAATGCAATTGTATTCTATGAAAAAGTCACCGACTTACGATAGCGTGGAGTTTGCGCGGGTTTTTGACCAGATTTTGTAATAGGTGGAGAAACTAACATTAAGGAAAGCGTTTCGTTACTAATGTCTAATGTTTTTGACGTTACTTTCTCATAGCCCTGATTTATCACCCTAGAACTGGCGGTAGGCACATGTTCAATTAAACTTAAAGTCTGAGGCATTGATGTTGTTGCATTATCAATAGGTAGAGCTGAAAAGAAAGTTTGATATATTTAATACAATTTGGAAAAGGGTTACAAATAGAAAAAGCACTCACCAAGGACATAGTTTCTAGCAAGACTACCAAATAACATAAACCACACACAAACAAATGCCATCATAGTAAACCATTTTTGGAACCATAAATAGTTATACACGTGCGAATTATACATATTTGCAGATAACCAATATATAAATCTCCGATTCTTTCAGGCAATCAAAATTTCTCCAAAATCAAATATAATTCTCAATTAGTTCATCTCTTCGGAACATTGCAGCACATGCATTGGTTTTGTGAGGGCTCACACTGGTTTCCGCACAATTCCTAGTTTGTTTGCAACACTGTAAGGACTTATTGTTATTTTACATTGCAATTGCACCTATAGATACAGAATTACTCTTAAAGCGATTTTGAATCGCAAAAGCACATTCCTTTTTACACTTATACGCTATAGAAAATTTGGTGTTAACGAAATTGGAAACGAAAACATCACATGTTTATATATATGCTTTCGTTATTTCTTCCTTCTATATGAGTAATTTACGGGTAAATTAATCTCTTTTTGTCGCACTAAGTTAAACTTTGCTCTACGTGCACGGAATTCTATGTTTATTATATAGATATATGAATCCTAACAGTTCAGAAAAATAAAAAACCAATGATGAAAAATCTCGCCATTTTTCCACTTAATATACTTTTTAAATAGAGTTACCAACCTACCAAATATAATCACTATTTTAGAGCAATAGACTTTATCGGTTTTTTTTTTTTTAATTTAAAAATTTCTTGCGAATCAGCAACGTAGTTTCGGAAATATTTTATTAAGAATGTAAAATCTTTCTTTTATCTTCAAAGAAACTTTTTATTACATCTGTAAATAGGATATTACACAAGTCAAAAGTAGAGGACTCAACGAACAGCAACGTAACAAAGCAAAGAATATTTACTTTCCTTTCAAACATTTCTTTTGTTCTAAAAATGTTATACGAACAAATTCGCCCTATCGTAATGACTGCCAATATCTGGTAATATCATTAAACTTGTGAAAGACAGCCATCAGTTTTTGTGGAAGGTATGTGTCTTCAGATCAAGTGTAACTTTTATTGAACTCCATTACATCTCTGTTTTATTGTTAGCATATGCTGTTATTATTTGCATTTTTTAATGAATCTATTTTTCATGACAAAAACTTGGTAGAATTGACAGAACTAAATTTGCAAAATTTAATTCCAAGTGTTATTAACAAAGATTCCGCTTCTAAACATATATATATGTGCAATAAATTTGCGACCTAAGAAACTACTGATGAAAGTGGATAGTGGATAGTGATCATGAGTAATTTCTTAATATTTCACGATGAGTCGCCAGTTGTAATAAAATGGAAAATAAAAGTTGACCCACCGCTGTCAGCAAGACGATTTTGCTATTTAAGCCCATGCCTAATTTTAATTCTTACCAATGACAATTGTTTATATGAAGGACATTTTAATGAAGAAAACAACTGTATAACTTTTGAAGATCTGATTCAAATTGGCGTAGAGGATATGCAATTTAATAAAGTTCTACGTCGTATTTATATTGTAACGTGCAAGGGCCAAGTGTTTTTTCAGTTCTTTGACGCCGATATGAGCCATCTAAGCAGTCAGTGGAAAGAAATTGTTTTTGCATCTATTGAATCTCTGGAAGAACAAGTGGTGATTAAACGAGTTTCCTGTTCGGCGGAAGGCGTTTTATTTGTGTCCCGAAGTGATGATGATGTTTATGCGCTCGGTAAATGTGGAGACCATTTTCGTTTTGATTTTGATCAACCCAAATTAATTCATCCATTTAAGTATCCAGTGCATATTATTAACGTGGTGGGCGGTGATAATTTCTTTATTTTCCTCGCTAGAAAATATCTGAATGAATCTTCTAATTACACAAATGAGCCACAGCAGTACGGTAAGCTGGACACGTGTGAAAGTTTGTAAAAATATTGTCATGCGTTTAACTTTTATCAGAAAAACTTCCGGATTTAGTGTGTTCAGATGTACGAACAGAATCAAGCCAGCATCCGTCAACAAACTCTATTAATGTATGTGATTATCGTTCACAAAATGAAAATTTGGAACCAAACACGCAGTTGATAATTGATCAGGGTTCTGCGTTGCTCCAAACTGTTGTTTATACCTTCGAAGCATCAAATCGCAACGCAATGGGAACAAGAGATCAGGTGAAACGTGATTCTCTTTTTGCTTTTGAGCAGCTACGAGATATAGGAATTTGTGATATATCTGCCGGACGCGAGCATGCAATTGCTCGTAGTATCGATGGTCGTTTATACCATTGGGGTTGGAATGGCCACCGGGAGTTGATGAGTAATAGTACAACTGAATGGGTTTCGGACAATTCATCTAACTTGGTTGAATCATGCTGCAGAGGTGATCAGACGATCTTGCTAACTGCTCGAGGCGAATTGTATGAAAATAATAAAAATATTTATAAAGGGGGAAAAGATATTTTTGCTGCTCACGTAAACACGGTATCTTCTTCATTGTTATGTTCTGGACCACTGATTTTATACAACGGGCATCAATATAAAATTGAGTTTTGTAATTTACGTACTCACCTGCAAAATCAATTGAAAACTATGATTACTTTCTATAAGAGATATCAACAACTAAACACATTAGCCAACAAGATTGTTAAAGAATTGCAGCAAGTTTGGTATCAATTCAAAAATGTTATTTTACTATTAATATCAGTATTACATTCGTTAGAAAGATTTTATTGTGGCGATAACAATAATCCTTTAGAATTAGTTTTTATTAAATATCGACCAGCAAGTATAAAGATTTTGGAAGTGTATATGGTGGCATACTGTGATACGTACTCCATTAATGGTTTTGCGGACGCTGATAAAACTTTGCGACCCACACCAACATCATGCGCGGATTATAACTATCAAAACTTAATGAAAATGTTTCAGCAGCCCTTTCAAATTTCTCCCTATTTGTTAAGGATCTTGGAGCAACTGGAAAAAGATGATGAAATGTTCAACGATCATATACAAGCCTGGGAGTATTTCACGCGTAAAAATCGCATCGAATTGGAATTAGCGGAAAGTACTCGTGATTTTTGGCTGTCCAACACACGAAATACGAAAATTGCTCGTTTCAAAAGTAAGGATCGCCGCGTTATTTTAAGCTCGACTTCTGTACCATTGAAACTTTTACATTCCATTGGCCTTACTACGCAAACATTTATACTGTTCTCAGACTGTTTGTGCCATGTACATCATCATGTGACCGTTTATCCTTTGATAGCATTGTGGTTGAAGATGGAAGAAAATGGTATACGTTTAATAACACCTGAGAAGAATTTCATATTAACAGCACGCAACGAACATGATAAAGAACTGTGGTACGATCAGTTGGAATCCAGTATTAAAATGGCATTGAATTTAAGAGAAAAAGCTAAAGTACCAGAAGTTCGTGACATTAGCTACAGTTTTACGACCAATCACTCCGTATACGGCGGAGTTAATGTTACAGGAAACTTTTCAAATGGGGTCATGCATGGAAAGTGTCGTTTAGAGTTTCCTAATGGGAAGCTATATTTTGGTGAAGTAATTCACGGGGTAATAGAAGGTTATGGACTCATGTATTCCCCTAAAGTCGGTTCTTACAAAGGCGATTTTCGGAATGGCAAGTTTAGTGGGTATGGAAGCCTTGTCATAAGTGAGAAGAAAATGTATGAAGGCTATTTTCGAAATGGACTGTTTCATGGACATGGTCATTTCAAGCAAAATGACTCCGTATATATTGGCGAATTTCAGGACAATAATAAGTTTGGTTATGGCGTACTTGACTTTATAATTTGTGGTGATAAGTATATGGGTTTTTTTGCGGATAATAAACGCTGTGGAGATGGTATATATATTACGTCAAAGGGAGACTATTTTGAGGGAGCATTCATAAATGATGAATTGACGGGAAAATGTTCAGCTTTATTTCAAAATCATTCTTTTTATGAAGGAGAATTAACTCTAGTTGGTCCCAACGGTTTGGGAAAATATTACATGCCACTTACTAATCCATTGGAAGAAGTGAGTTTTTACTTAAAAATCGATCCGATTATAACATAATTGGTTTGTATTATTTTTAGTTATGTGAAATATCCCTTAATGAGAGTGTAAACAATCAGCAAATCACTGGTTCTACTCTTAGTGGCCAGTTATCCGGCAAATGGGATCAAATTCACATCACATCAGGATTAATGGAATTTAATCGCACTTTCATGAAATATCCAACGTAAGCAGAGTCTTTGTGTTAAGTATAATGCTGAGATAACTAACAAGTAATTGTTCAGTTCTCTGGGTTTACATGCTACAAGCAATGATAGAAAGTGGTGTGCTTTGTTTATAAATTACGAAGAGGAACTCTTTGGTGATTTAGCCAAGTCTACGCAATTTGATAAACCTTTGACATTTGCTCTGTGGAATCGAGTTATTGCTTTTGTAACCAAGCAACGTGAAATAGTGATTGATCCAATAATTGATCGAGAGTTATCTTTGTTGCAACGAAAGCGTAATGAAAATAGAGCTGATTTTCGGAATGACTTTGATGCAAAGTTTGAGAAACTTAGTTTGAACGCCTCCTTAGACTTTGAAAAATTTGAATTGAAAAAGCGGTCAAGATCACAGGATACACTCAGCATTACTAACGATTTAGAAACAAACATCGATTTGTTAAACCTTTTGAAAAAGCTCGAAGAGGGAGGTTCCGATGAACATGACTTTCTACTTTCAAGTGAAAATAGAAATTTCAACAATCTGCCTTCGAATTTTTTCGAAAGTCATAAGGCTGTAAATGAGTAAGTCTCTGACTTGTAACACTGGTTCACACTGTTTTCAAGTTTTTTTTAGTTTAACAATGCAGTTAAAAATGGACCTAATACCTCAATGCGGCTTCACGGAGCTTAACTTAGAAGATTTTAACGTTATTAAGGAATATCTGGCAAGCGCCTTCAAATATCGCCATCATCCCTTTTATCATCTCAATCAACGCATAACCGCTACCTTCTACAGATCTTATGGTTGCTGGAAAATGAAGCCTACACCATTCCTGGCTAAAAACGCGCTCCTTGAATGGGAATCGATTTCACAGCGCGTATACAAAATAATCCGAAAGCTTTTCCCAGCTTTACCTGAAGATTATTGCGTTTTAGAAGGCAATAAACGTGAAGTAGTATCGCATATTACTTTACTTTATCCCCTTTTGTTATCCGAATGTGTCTACTCTACGCTTTTCCTCCTTTATGCTAGCAAATACAGCCATAAAGATGAACTTTACCGTCAAAATCTGTTGCGGGCTGAAAAATTTGACAATACTCAGTTAATTTCTGCTCTACAACTGGATAGGTTTATTGATATTGTTTTATATTTTTAGAAAAAATTCATCAAAATCGATTTATTTTAGGGATCTTGTTCGCATAGTAGACACATCGGAATTTGAAGAAGCTGTAGTATTGCTCAAGCAACTGAAGAAAAAACGCAATCCTATGGGCATGCTAACTGTGATAGAAAATTGTATGGGACAAGTGACGAAAGCTTCTCAAAATGTTGTTAATGGTATAGCACAACGTTAACATTGCTTCTTTTTAAAGACGCCCGCTATGAATCTTTGTTTTCAATAACTAATCTTCTTCGCTTACTGTGTGGTGTATTTGTTAGTTGTTCAGATTTGTATAGCCTATAGATATAAATCTTCTGAAAAAGTGTCGTGAACTAAAAGCCAAAATTTATGATATGTCTGTAAATCGTTGAGATTTCAGTTGTTTTGTAGCAGCGCTTATTCTAGCGACTACCACTAAGTTGCAGTGTTCTTTTTTAAACAAAGTTGTTAAAAAAAAAAGTTGTAGTTCTATTATTAGATGACAATGTTAAAAACAAAGAAAAGCGGTGCGCTCCTACGAAAGAATTTCATAAGATTGTATTTTTTCTAATTCTTTTTTTTATTTGACAGTATTTTTAAGCGCTGATATAGTTATGCCTCTAACTTTAATGTTATTATTACGTGCTGCAATACCTCACCTAGGAGCGGAATTGGCTTTATTGGATGATCTAACGGATTGTAAAAATTTTCAATTTGAAATGAATGGCATTAGAGGCTACTGTTATACAACACTCAAGGTAAGTTACAGGCACCATATTTAATTACCTAAAAGAAAAGTACATAATCTTTCTCTGAAGGCTTCTTATGAACATCTTACTACTAAGTTAACTTTCGAACTAAAGTAATTGTTGAAGTACAACAGGAATTCATCTTTTGCTGGTGAAATACGTGGTAAAGATTTTGTAAGCAAAGAAATTTAAAATCTACATATATTGTCTGTCTCACTGAATTACATTTAATAATTATTTGTTTTCAATAAAATCGCCAATATATAAAAAACATTCAAGACTAATGAATTAAACAAATGGATAACTAAATTCACGACATGATCAAAATTTACATCTATGGAGTATTACCTGAGGAACATGAAATGAGAAGCGTAAATTTTCGTCGTTGTTCCTAGTTCTTTCCTTTCCCTTTTCCATTAGCTCTACCATGTTTAGCAATTTTATTCTTTTTTTTTGAAAAGGTGGAATTTTTGTAGAAAATGTAGAATGGAGTGAAATTAAGTGCGGGAGCAACAAGAACTGAAAACTACTTAACAGGAAAGTTCTTTATAAATTAAAATGTGCCGAACATCGAACTAACAAAAAAAAAAAAAAAAGGGGAAGTATATATATCATTCAATTTCACATTTTATTTCATATTCTGCTGAGTAAATGAAATGACATTAACATGTCTATTTTTTCGAGGAATTGATTTATTCGGTTTTTGAAGCCAACAATCTATTGAAACTCTATTATTGTACAATTTTAACCGTGAAAAGAAGTGCAACAAAAGGGGAAATATATCTAGCATAATGCAAATTGAATTACTACCTTTGGCTGAAGAAAAGCAACTGACGCATACGTCGCCGTTTTGTTTAAGCATGCAATGGGGTTTTTGCGTTACTTCGTTGTTTGTAGACATTGCGGTAACGATGCATTTACAATTTTCGAAGTTCGCTCATTTACTTCTCCTCTAAATGGACAAAATTCGAAGTTCGCTCATTTACTTCTCCTCGAAATTGACAAAATTCGAAAATTGCAATTAGCGTCTATTACTACATTTTTCGATTTGATAAGTTTTGGAAGATTTCTTACAGCTATGTTTAAAAGCGTTAATATTATGGTTTCTTTTTATTTAATTCAATTCAATTTATTTGCACAGCGTAAAAGGAATGATTTTCTTTTCACAAAAATTACATTAATATGGCCTAGGACGTTTTGGATGCGTATTATCGTGGTAGCATAACACGATAAAGATAAAAAGTAGTCTTCTCTTAAAAGGCATCGTTCGATTTATGATCGGTAGGTCGTGGCCGGCTTAATACAGGGCATACAGGGCGTACGGTCGTATACAATCTTGCCAAACGGCAGGCACGCAGTTTCTAATACAAAATCAAAAATTTAACATTACCTATCAGCAATGTGGGCTGATAATCAATTAGCTGAAAACTATCTGCCTTGCTTTCTAATTCTGTCAAGGCAGAGAAAACATGAATGTTATTCAAAAATCTATAATTATGTTACAATATACTTACTGTAAACTCCAAATTTAGAAAATATCACAAATTTATTTACGTAAAGAAGAATGTGAGCGTGTGTGTGTACATTTACGAATCAAATAATTTCTAGTTTGTAATTTATGTTATCATTAAATGAAATAAGTAAATAAATAAATTGATATTTGTTACATTTTCAAATTTTCGTTTAATTTGCTTTTTGTATAAGATAAGGAAAATTTATTTAATCAGAAAATAATCCTACAAGTGTTTTGCGCAAAAAACTTCCTGGTCAAATATAAACAACTTGACTTTGTCGCTTTTGCTCTTTTTCCATCGATTTTTTTATCTGTTTGGAGATGCCTTCAGACAATACAGCATTGCTTCTAAAAAAGCAAAGTATACGCTCAATACAATACAATTTCCAGACATTTTCAAAATACTTCATAAAATGCTTGGCATTTATTTAGTTCAGTGACATTCTGGAGAACAAACTGATTCTTATGGGTAAACTTATGATTTATGAACACATATTCTCAGTTGTTTGGAATTTCTATACAAATTATTGAGAAAATATACGCTTATTCTCGCATCGATGGCTTTTTTACATAGACCTGTTGAATTATTGAGAACGAAAGGCTCTGCCTTTATATCCCTTTTGGCATATTCTAAAGCTCGCTTTAAAGGTTAGGAATATAAAATTTTGGCAAACAAACGATCACGTTCATAATCCACGTTCGTAGGTAATCCGCATTCATGTACAATCGTTGCGGTGTTAGCGAATTGAACTTTTCGCATAGGAGTCACTTGCACCATATCTCGTCCGAAACGTGTTTGTAAAGGGCATTTTATCGGCAATGGAGAATTAAAAGACAAATCATGCAAGAGCTTGGACGGAGTTTTCAGAGGTGAACTGTAAGAGCTCGGACAACCATGGCGGACTTGAAACTAGAGCGACATCTCGTGCCGTACGCGAATGTATTCAAAATATATGTACTGAAATTTATCATGTAGCTAATCATATCAATTCTCGCAATCAATTGAAAGTGGCCCCAAAAAATTTCTTTCAACATCATACTAGCGATGATGAACTTAAACGTTTCATATCCTTGAACGCAAACGTGCGCGATGAATTTCAACGTCAGCGTGGGAAAATCGAACGAGTTTTGGAAATTTATAAACATCGCTCGGACGATCGAGATGAAAAACGGAAGTACGAGAAAATATTTTTTCTTTTTTTTTTTTGGTATGTTCAACAGAGATGGACTAAGCCAATAGATTTGTGGCTTATATGTCCAAATAATAAACTGTTGTAATTTTTAGTCACGATTATGTATAAAACGTAACAAAAAAATAAGAGCTGCCGTAATAACGCGGAGTGAGCGTGTTAAATGTAATTGTGTGTGTGTATGTGTGTAATTGTGCTTGTTGAGTTCTTGAGAGTTAAACAGTGTTGCAAACTTTGGCTGAAAACGAAAAGCAATGCTGTGGTAATAGGAGATTATTAAACGCAAAAACGAAAGAAAAAAAAAAAAAAGAAAGGAGAGGAAAAAAAAAAAATTCTAAAAGGATAAATTAGCTTTTCTAATAAAGCAAGTTAGTTCCCCGAGATGACGTACATTTTTTGCTGCAAAGAGATCGAGGAGACAGCCATATAACTTGAAGAAGCTAAAGGAATCTCTAATGCCATCAAGCCTGTGACATCTGAAGACTAGATGCTCAGCAGACTCAACAACATTGCAAACTTCACAAACATCACATGGTATAGCGCGAATCATTTTTAAATAAACTTTGTCATAAGTGTGACCACTCATGAGTCTATAAAGAATTTTGATTTCCCAGGAATTAAAAGAAGATACACAGAAGAGTTTGAATTGAAATGTGGGATTTAATTTATAGAAAAGACGATTGGATTTAACGCGCGCGATTACTTTAAATTCGTCGTTTAGCTGTTGAAGGATGTGGTTGCGAATTGCCCGAATTGCTTCATTGGGAGTATATTTGATGGACAAAATTGCCCCATCAACACGAGCTCTCCCTGCATGAAAGTCGGCTTTTACTTTAAAAAAAAAGCCGCAGTGGCCAGGTACCCAAACGAGGTGACAGTCATCCACTTGAGATTCGTGCAAAGTCTTGTGAATGTCAAACACATATTGATTTTCTGCATCTCTTTTATTTATTAGAAGTAGAGCAGACCTGCTGTCGGAAAAAATAACAAAACGTCTGATACCATCGGAAATAGCAACCATGATAGCATGTCGAATGGCGAGCAACTCAATAAAAGTAGAGGAAAGTTCCTCTTCCACTTTGACTCGAAGTATTGTTTCAGATAGATGTTTCACGACCGAGAAGCCAGATACATTATGTCCGACGGAACCGTCAGTGGCATATATATCATATCCGTTGTTGTAATAAAAAAGGAGCTTTTCTTGGCATAACAACCTTATACAAGAGAAGTTGACATTTTGTTTTGAGGTAGAGATTGGTTCGAGAATGTTCATGAAGAATTTGCAATTGCTGGTAATGAAATTCAAGGGGGGAATTGAATCTAACTTATCAAAAATATGACGAAGTTTTTGATAGCAAAAGGTATAGCTGCAAGTGACAGTGTCACTGAGAGATATAATTTCCTGAAAAAAGGAAGGATTTATCATCTTGACTTTAATTAACTCCTTGGCAGTGCAAAAAAGGGCTCTTTCGGAAACTGGCCATTCACCAGATATAACATTGAGAATATGTTGAGGAGTTGAGGGGGTCAGTCCAGTACAACGCTTTAACATTCGGTTTTCAAATGTTTGTATACGTTTTTCAATATATTTTGGGAAATTGCAGCATGTGGAATGTAAAAATTCAATTTTGGACCTGACTAGAGATTTGTAAACGGTCAAAGCATTTTTGGGAGGCAAGCCTGCCTGATTGTTTGTCATGAGTTTGATGATGTTGCATCCAGACTGACAATCTTTGAACGCCTTTTCATAATGCCCACGAAAGGTTAAGCTGTCATTTAAAATTCTCCCAAGAAATCGAAGAGATTTTACCTGATTAACTTGGGTACCTTTGATAAGAAGTCTGATTTCACGTTTAGAACCTTTGGCAAAATAAATAGTGTTTGTCTTGCTGGGGTTAAAATATAAATTAAGATCAGCGCATGCATCGAAAAACAAGTTCGCTTTCATCGAGAGGTTATTGACAGCTGCTGGAAAAGATGAGTCCGCAGATACGATTAGAAAATCGTCTGCATATTGAAAAATGTGAGTTTTGTCATCTTGAAGGTCATGCAAAGAAGCTGAGTATAAATTGAAAAGTATGGGGCTTAAACAACTGCCTTGTGGGATACCACCACATATTTCAATTTTTTCGGTACCCATCACCAACACACGCTTGGATAAAAAATTAAGTATCCACAGCCGCATTTGAAGAGAAATCGAAAAGTTTAGGAGAATTCTACCGAGCTTAATCAAGTTGACACAGTCATAGGCTTTGCTGATGTCCAGGGAGAGCATGACAACCTTTTTCCCTGCTTTTTTTAAGCTGACTATGAGAAAACACAGTTTATTAACGCACATATTCGTAGATTTGCGTTTTTGATAGGCGTAAGACCGAGCTGGAATAATGTTCTTAGTTTTCAGGAAAGCAGTTAGTCTCTGCTTAACCATGAGGTTGATGGTCTTTATGAATACAGATATTAGTGAAATTGGTCTGAAGCTACTTAAATCATTTAAGTCTTTACCTGGCTTGGGAATGGGAACTATTTTGATGCAACGGAAATCAGAGGGTATAAAGTTGGTGGACCAGCAGTTGTTAGTTGCATGCAAAAGCATTCTAAAGCTTCCTCCAGACAGTGCTGTGAGCATGTCATACTTGACTCCATCACAACCTGCAGCAGTAGCTCTCTTTCTGGAATGTAAAACATACATTAGCTCATGCAATGAAAAGGGTGTGTTACTGATACTACTGAAAGGAATTGAAGGCATTGTAATAGGATTAACAATTGGAATGTAGCTCTTGAGCATATCTAAGTATTTTTTATTATCACGGTCATTCCTTACCGCACAACCGCTTAATTTTCGACTAGAATGTCGATGACCATTGATATAATTCCAGAAGGAACGTGGGTTGCCATTACCACATAACTCTTTAATAGCGATGGCTCTATGTACCCTTTTCGCCTTTCTAACTGCAGACCTCCATTCTTTCAATATTTTCATATATTCAATGTAGTTGGCTGGATTGGCATATTTACTCATTTTTTTTCTTGCAGCTTGGTATTTGCGGAAAAGTGTTGACAGGGAAGGATTCGACCAAGGTTTAGGTGAGAAGGACTCAATGTCAGGGAAGTTGGTTCTAGCAGACATGATCACAGACTGAAAGGCACATTGAATTGATGATAAATCAGAAGAAAGATCAACTTTAGTCAGACGGTCCATAAGGAAGTTACGTGAAATGAAATTTTCTATTTTCTTGACGGAATTGTTACAACTGTGGAATATAATGGGGGAGTGCTGACTTTTGCCAATGGAAATATTGGACGTGTTCCAGTTGAAAGATAGAATAGTTGAGTTCGAGAAAGTTAAATCCAAGACACTGCTCGCCGTGCGACCGCTCCGGTTACAGTGAAAGGTAGTATTGCCGTTATTTAAGACACTGAGACTGCTGGAATTGATGGCATTTACAAGGATTTTGCCTTTGTTGGTAGAGACTTAATCGCCATACAGGCGGTGTCTTGCATTAAAATATCCAGCTAGAATCACGTTTTGTTCACCGTCAAGAAAGTCGCATAATCTCTGAATCTCATCACGAAAGGTTTGCACATCAAGACTGGGTGGAAAGTAGCATGAGGCTATGAAAAGATTCGGTTTCAGGTTGATGGTTTTGATGATGATGATGTCAACGGCAGAGTTATAGGGAATACGTCTGAAATTGACACCTTTCTTAACTAATATACCAACACCACCATAGCCATCATTTCGGCATTTGGTGGCTGAGGCATAATTCGAAACTTTAACTTCGAAACAATTTTCATCTTTCAGAAAAACTTCACTTAAGATACAAAAATCGATCTTGTTTGAGTTTAAGTAAAAATCTAGAAAAGATAAGTTACGTCGGACACTTTGAATATTATATTGTAAAAAGGATATCATGTTGAAACTTCAGAAAGAACCACAGCGAACTTGTTCGCAGTACTGGATGCTCGAACGGGGCAAGAAATGGCACAGACAGACATTTTTTCTTCAAATTCTTTAATAAGATTGTGAGGGATCATCGGGCGGATACTTTCTTGAATCGCGTGAATTAATCTTTCAAGTTCTGAAGACAGCAAATAGTTGTTTGAAATTTTCGGTCCAAGAAGGCTTGTTCCAGACGACTTGGGGGATGTATTGGGAGAAGGCTTGGTGGGTGAATTGATAAGAGATTTGGAGGGAACCAATTTCCTTTTGACGACAGCATTGTATTTATTTTTGGTTAAGATTTTGTTGGCATTTTGATTATCATCCTTGGTCGAAATTGCAGACGTGTTCCCCAGTGGAGGGAAATTGCCGTCATAAGTGTTGTCATCGAGACATTCGAAATAATTTTCGGAAAATTTCTCTTTGACCTCTTTATACGAAAGATTTTTAATCGCCATTATCCTGTTGATATTTAATTCGCTTTCCCTATAAGGGCAACACTTATCGAGAGCGTTGTGCTCACCTGAGCCACAGGACAAGCACTTCATCGCCTCACAATTTGCACACTTCGGCGACTTTCCACAGTTAAGGCACCTGCTCTCTTTAGCTTTGCAGAATTTAGATACGTGACCGTATCTGCCACACTTAAAGCACTGCTTTAAAGTGGGTGCAAAGTATTCGACCGGCAGATTACAATAATTAAATTTTATTGCCTTAGGGAGGGCTCTCCCTTTGAAGCCAACTTTGATGCTGGTTGTGGGAATCCACTCGTCTTTGTTGTTGGGATTTCTTCTTTGGAAACGGACAGCGGACTTAATCGGGATATCGGATACGGCGTTATTAATTATATCATCGACACTACATGTGCATGGGATGTTTCGAATAACTCCAAATCTCTCAGTGAACGACCTCGGTATGTACGCTTTTAAATTCTTTTTATTAAATTCATTTTTCGTAACAAAATTGTTGGCATTGGCAGCAGAGCTGAAAAGTAGTTTGGCTCTACCCCTGCTGACAATTTTTAATTCTTTAAAGCCATACATACCAAAATCCTTCAAGTAATCATAGAAATAGAGATTGGAGTTAATATTGATGCGATTTCCTTCTGCGTCCGCGCACGTTTCGACAAAAACGACAAAATTGCAGTTTGAAAAACAATCGTACAAATTAATCTCGAGATTTGGGGCGGCAGTGGCACCCAAATCAGAGGGCTTGTCGGTAGCCTGTTTACTAGGCGGAATTGAAACGTTTGCGTTAGTCTCCCGGTTATTAGATAAAGGAATATTATTCTCACCCATTTTCGATCTCTTGGTTTGCCCAGTGGCGTTCATATAAAAATTTTCAAAATTGTCTCTATTAGTAGTTATAAGATCAGACCCAGTCTCCATAGGGAGACGGGCTGATGTTGTTTTGGTTGTTGTCACAGGGAACACAAAAAGAAAAAATCACAAAGAAAAAACCAAAAATAATAATTGAAAATATGTATTGCTTCTTAATTTTTCTCTCACGAGAGATTCCTCCTCCTTCCTTCCTTTTCCTTCTTAAAATTGTTTTCTTTGGTTATTTTATTACTTTATTAAATCTCTTTTCCTTTTTTCAAATATTTAAAATCTTTTTTTTTTCACTAACACCGGTAAACACAAAAATTTTCCAGCTGCCGTTTGCGGAGATGATGTGTTGTGTCAAGTGTGAATGAAATGCCAATGGGAGAAAATATTTAAGGAAAATGTTTTGCTTCTGGAAGAGGTTGATAAGCTACGAGAAAATAATCAAGCTGTACGTGCACTGCTGAAAAAGAAAATGAATTTAAATAAGAGATTTAAAAAACAGCCGGGGGGGGCAGATAAATGTCCCAATTATATTCCGCGGACCCAACGGGGCTGCCATGGGATTTCTACCCCGTTCACAGTCATACTCATGAACCGGTTTTCTACTGAACTAGAACGAGTTGTGAAATGAAAGTCCAAGCGCTGTTACGCTATTTCTGTTACTGTAACAACTACTACTGACGACGGGAAGCCGTGTTAACTGATAAAAAAAAGAGAAAAACAAAATTAAAAATTTTTGTAATTTACAGCTACACCCGTTCAACTAGAATAGCTGCTTCCACAGTTAAGCTACCACAATCCTGGAGCTGCTATCCTGAAGTATGGTTCATACTGAAAGAAATGCAAGTAAACACGTTACTGCGGGAGATACGAATTACAAGTACCTCGTAGTAACTCTCCCACAACTTATTTATTATAAAATTTGCTAGTGCTCAATGTCTTTTCTTTAGTCTAAGAATTCAATTCATTAGTCTAAAATTAAAATAATAATAATAATAATATTTATTATAAAAATACAATTTCTGGAGCCATTACGAAGTATTGGTGCCAATTTTACGTGAAAAAGGTTTTGAAATAAAAGCTCTTTGGGGACGAGCCGTAAAAGAAGCGGAAGAGTTTTCATCATCCCAAAACATCGCTTTTTTATCAACAAAATTGATGATGTTTTATTACGAAAAGACGTGGATTTATATTTGTAGAATGTTAACCGTTTTTGCACGCTGAAATTTCTGTGAAGGGACTAGGTGTAGGGAAACATGTTGTGTGTGATAAGCCAATGAGCCTGAATCAATCCGATGCTATGAAAATGGTGAGGGCGGTTATTATCCTACCTTGATTTTTTTGTTAAATCATTCACTGCGTTTTCTGCTAGGTAAATTTATCGTTATTCTTTAATTAAAACCAAATGGAGGCATATCACTGTTAATGATATAATTTATATAGTCTCCAATTAAAGAAGTATCAAGTTCAAGTAAAAGCTGCTTACTTTTAACTTTTAATATATTTATATAGTTTACGTAAAAGATTACACTTTCTTTGTCAGCATTCACACATATGAAACGTTGTTTACATAATGATATGATTGATCCGTTGAGTGAAATATCCTTAATATATTACATATATATTATCGTGTGGAACGGGATGCTATACTTCGCACTTCGATACAATGCCCTTGTGTTGAAAATTGAAGATTATAAAATAGATTGCCTTTACAAAACATGAGGAAATTGTGTAAGCACACGAAATATCGTAGATTTAGAATTAATCTCATACTTTTGGATGGATCCTATTACCAACCCACCGCTTCTTTATACAAACAAAAATAATGGTATTGGAGTTCGCACAAAAAGGCCACCGGTTGAGAAAACAGTCGCCTTATCTCTGGAAGATGCACATTTTGGTTGCGCAGGAATAACAGAAAAACGCAATAAACTTTATAACTCCATATATCACCTGGGATCACTGCTTTTTCCTTTAAAGAAGAGGGAGATCGATATCGCACGAAAATTTCTTTGATATAATTCCTTCTGATATAATATTTATTGTCGAAGACAAACCACATGATGTGTTTAAGAGACGTAACCTTTACAATATTTTTGATGCTCATAAAACTATTTTGTGAGGTCCTAACTGGATTCCGATTCGTTATTGAAACCTTGGATAAACGGAAAATGAAAGCTTCTTCTATTAGCGATGTAGTTATACCAGATTACGTCAAAATCCTTCGAACAAAGGATTACCGAAATATAAACCTGTTGATGACATCCGCGATCGAGGTGTGCAAACTTACGAGTATGGGGACTTTGTAATAGAATGCATGATAGAATGAAAAGTAGGAAGTAAGTTGAACCATTGTCCCTTGTAGCGTTGAACCTAATAATTTATTTTAGTTAAATTCCCCGAATATCTAATCACCGCAATGATATTGCTGACTGACAGTTTCTTCACCGATTTCCAGGCATTGGAGTAAAAAAACAGCCAAAGAAATTGCAATACTGTCAAAATGCAACAATGGATTATTAGTCTTAAACTAGGTTTGACATTTATTGGGAAAAACGAAAGTTAAACTGAAAAGTTTACTTGTGTAGTTCAACTTATTATCTTTTAATGATATTTTCTATGTTATGCAGAAAATTGGTAATACTATAAAAAAAGCAACGTCTAAAATGGTTTGTATAGAAACTGAAATTTTTCAATTTCAATCATATTGAAGATTTGAATCCATCACCGATTTTTTTGAATATTTCAGTGTTTTTAGTTAATGGTAATTCCAGCGAATGAAACATCTAAGCCCAAATCATTTGATTCCGTACGACTCTTAATATGCGCTAAAGTGTTGTTGTAGTGAAGTTCGATTTGCTTAGTTTCTTCACTGGGTTCCAAGTTTGGCAATTCTTCACTAATTTTGCCAATTAACTGTTTGCAGAGGGAAAAGGAAAAACATCGAAAGTGTTACTTCATAATGAAATTGTCATTTAGTAGTAGATTCACTTACCTGATTCAGCATAGCAACTGTTATTAAAGAGTTGCCTCGTTCGAAATAAAATAGGTAGTGATTTAACAATTCCACATATAGTTGCACCTGAACTCCAGTGTCTAAACATTGCGAAGCAATGCGGGCACCTTTCTTTAAACAATCTAGGGTCTTTTTTTCATCGCGCATTTCTTTGCCATTTTGCCTAAGGACGTTAATATGTATTATAGTTTAAAAGAACAAGAAATATATATTTGCTATGGAATCCATAAATAAAACATTTTATGGTGTCTTCATTGTGGTAGCCAAATATATCGCAAGCGTAAGGGTTATATCTTTGTATCTGGATCTTAGAGGGTAAGTTTTGGCAAATATTTAAGTCACACGTTATAGATTGCGCATATTATTGTCGTTATTTTGAATGTTCTAATACAATTGCTGATCAGTTATGGACGTGCGCTCGGTTAGCAAAATATTGGAAAATGTTGCAAGTGAATCGTTAAAATATCTATAAGCATAGACGTAAGTCGGTGGCTATTCAATATATTTAATTTATAATTTTATTTTACATTAATAATTTAATAGTAAAACTCTTTATTGTTAGACTTGTTTCTCTAAGCTAAACTGACTAAGTCAATCAATTCAAGATCGCACAGCGAATACGGTGCCTGGGGGATGTCGATAGTCGGCCAAAGTGGAGAAAGTCAGCATAGGCTACTTTTTGAATGTAACGAAAGCATATACATGCTCCGATATTTAACTTACAATCTCAGTTTTTATAACTTGTAAAGATCTTACTCTTAACAGTCGGACAGACATAGATAAATCGAATCTAAACCTCGACATAATTAAGTCTGCATTCATTTCTGAATTCAAGTCTGTATTCATTTTTCATTCATTCTTTCAACTATTTTAAGCGAAATGAGAAAACAGTTGCTGCATTTCTAATTTCATGGTGACTGGTAAGATTTACCCTATTCTTGCTACTCACTTTGCGCTCCAGAAAAGTGCAGCACAAGCAACAACACCTCTGCATTGGTCTGGTTTCTTAAGGAGTTTTGATGCCGCTAAAGCGCAATTAGTGCGTAGAGGTTCGGCGTTTTCTTCACTAAAGCAAGTCATTTGCTCAAATGTTGACATAATAAGTGTAATTGCCGCTAGCTGCGCTTTCGAATCGGAAATTTCATCTTCATATAATGAAAAAGCCTGCGTCATAAATTCGTAGGCTACAGTTTCATGATTCGAGTGCCCAATCACGCCGATGACTAAGGCTCCTTGCAAATATAACCGCAGAGCTAATTCGGGCAATTCAGCCTTCGCTAAAGGTGAAATCGTTGAATGGCAATATTGTATAATCTTTTGACATTTCTTGTCCCAGTTCTCATCTTGATCAGCTATAGATTTATATCTATACGCTAGTTGATAAGCAGAAAAAATTAAAGGTGGCAAGACATGCTTTATACGTTGACAGCCGCCTGCACCCAAGTGTTTTCGAGCTATTTGTAAGATTTTGTATTGCATGTCTGGTTCCTCTGATTTCATTAAATGTACAAAACTAAAGAGAAAATGGATCGTAAGGAAAGGTATGCTTTTTTTGATATTTCCACCAGCTAACTTACCGAGCTACAATGCCTTGTTCTTCTGCAAATTCTTCAAGGTCGCCTATTTCAACATCATTTCTGTTGGCCAATTCTTCGTCATCTTTTATGAGTGGAGTAATTAAATTGAGTACAGCGTCCGCTTCATCGGCAGTAGGTATTAAGGTTTCGTATTCCAAAATATTCATAACAAGATATAGAGCCAATGTTTTCCGAGACGTATGATCGAATTTATCGAGAAGAGGACAAAAGTTGTTCAGTTGTATTATTGTTAAAACGTTATTGTAAAAGTCAATACATATGCGCAATAGGCGAGATAATTCCTGGTTGACCGACAGCATATGAGATATACTAAAAAAAAAAAAAAAAAAGTAGAAAGTGGCTTAACAAGGTCAATCAAGGTTTCGTTGTGCAAACATACTAGTGCATGTTGAGACGCTCTAAAATTTGTGTGGTTGTGCCTAACACTTTGTCGACATAATCAACGCGTTCTGGATAAACTTTCTGGGCTAGACTCAATAATGCCACTTGTAAAGATATAGTATCCTCCAGCGGCATGTCGGTACGTGTCTGAAAAATGGCAATCTTTCATTATACATTTAATTTGCATTTATTTCACAAGTTTACTTGAACAACATTAGCCACTTGTGCGCTAAAAACGTCAAATAATTGCACTTCAGGCGGTATTATGGATTCGATATGAGTGCCGCTAGTCTGAATATAATACATTGCGTTTATTTAATAGAAAGAAAAGAACAAACTTCCTCTTTTACCTTTCCACTTCGTTGATTGTAAGTCGCTAAGCGATCTATTAAGCAAATAATAATATTTTTTACATTCACGCCAACTTCTAATTGGGCGCACGACTTCAGGAATGGGTCTAAAGTTTGTAAGTGGAACTCATCCGGAAAGACTTGGATAATACATTCCATTAAATACTCTTGAGCTATAGCGTCACGGCAACTAACTACTTGCTCTAATATTCCGGGCAAAATTAAACGTTGATAAATTTCGAGCGAAACTGATTCTAACTGTGATAAGCGAACCAAATTTGTGCCTACGAGAATTTTCAACTCCTCTCGCTCTTTTTCTCGTCTTGTTTTTTCGCTAGAATGACCTTGATGTTGCATGCGAACCCAAAGCTTGTTCATTTCAGCGAAATTCGTCAACACAAAATCAATTGCATCATAAACATTACCTATGAGAAATATTTATTAAAGTAGAATTTGTTAAAATAAGATGAAAAATTTCAAAATCTTGTTAACTGATCGCAATTCAAATACATCTTTTTTTGATCTTGCTGATGGAGGAGATCCATTACCTTCATGCTCATTTTTGGCTACTAAAGTATCGGGCAATATATTACGCGTGCATTGCAACAAATAGTTACGTAGGAAGAGACCACGTAAAGGATGTTGTACACCGCTGCACATCTCTACCAAATCTTTAAGAATGCTACGTTTCAACGAGGAATCCTTTTTGATATACACAATGCCCACTGTGATCAGAAGATACAATCTGGGCACAATTGTGTTGGTGTATTGAACTAATTCATATAGATCGGGTTCTCTATTATTTTTTTTACCTAAATATACCGCAAACCAACTTTCTAAATGACAAAGTTCATCCGTAATGACCATATCTAAAAAACACATACAAAAACGCTTAATTATGTATGAGAGACTTTTATTTATCTTTTTTTTCTTACACAATTCGTAGTAACTTTTCGGCGACAACATGGAAGTACGTAGCTCGCTAAGCATAAAAGTGGCACATTTTAAAGCATCCTGCATACGATCTTTGTCTAAAAAGTGATTCATTTGGAAAGCTTGCTTACGGGCAGCGTTAATGGCTTCCGCTAAAAGTTTTTCTTGGTCGTCTGCACTATTCGGCATTGTCTGAAAATGATTTATAACTATTAACCAAGTAGTCTCTTAAACTGAAGGAAAAAATGTTCAGTAAGGGCTGTACTGGAATTATTGCATATTTGTTCGAGAATTCCTTTTTAGTATCTTTTATGTTTTTATATTTGATCAAGGAATGTGCCGCATAAATTTAGGCTAGATCGTGGTCAGAAAGGATTGTAGAAAAAACTGCGAAGCCGGCGTGCGCTAGTAAAAATACGTTGTCCTAAAAACTGACAATGCGAGTAAGATCCATAGCAGTAGTATTTATCTAAGCATGTATGTATATTATTTGTGCGCTTTTCCGCAAATATGACAATTGCCTTATCGTTGTTGTCATATGTTTTCACTGTAATCTCCCTCTCACTGTACGTCTTCTCTATTTTCATTGTCTGTGAATAATCGGGCAGCGATGAAATGCCTTTATACGTTACGCTTCTCATCTCTACGTAAATCAGTTGCAAATTTCAAATTTCGTACTCTTACTCTCTTGCTGCTCATATGGAAAACGATTCAAAAAGTCAGTAAAGCCTTATGGAATTTCGTCCATATGTTAAGTATGTAAGCAGTGCTATTGTTCCTCCTTTTGCAATTAATATAAACTTCAGCTTTTTATGTCCACACAAATAATCATTAACACAGGATGTAGTGTTGTACCGCTCAACATAGTGCAGATAAGAAGTGAAGTGTTTTCTTCAAACTAAATTTGTTTTAAATTAGTTGTAAACAGGGCGAAGAAAATATTTTTGTGGTTCTATTATGTGTCCGTTTCCAGTGATGTGTGGGTTCACTTATATAAAATTTATCAAGTTTTGTTTTAAAAGTACTCGGCGTAATCGGCAATAGAAGGAGGGTCTCTGCTACTAATGACAACGGCAATTATTGTTTTGTTTTCTCGACAAAACGGCTTATAATTTTAAAAGCAAATTTGGTAAAATCGACCCATTGTGGAGAACAACTTACCATAATTGTGGAATGAATAGAAGAAACTGCAAGCAAATTACGATATAAATTAAAAATCTTTCCTCTCAACTTTTTTACAAACTTTTCAATTTAATATTGCCGCTGTACACAAATTTTTTCCTTTTTCGGTATTTAACCGAAGGATTGTTTTTAGAGTTACTAAGGTTACGAACGCAATTTTATGAAGACCTACACTGGTATTGCTTCAAACATCTTATTATGTCTACAATCACTTCTTTATAGTTCACAATCATCACACGTATACATCTATGCATACGTATGTATCATGATTATGTGTATTCATATATGTATAAATATAAGTGGGCTTATAAACTGACGAACCGCGTGAAAGATGATTGCGCCCCGAATCTTGGCCGTTTTCAAGATATACTCAACGTGCACGTTTGTTATGTTCCCTATGAGGAACTGGGAAATTCATTTTTAATTGTAAGTTAAATTTTTACATGCCCTATTTATGCACATTTTCGCTGTACCAAAATTAAAATTTTTTTTTGGTTGATAAATATGCAATGTGAATTTCATTAATACGTTTTTTGCGTGGTTTTTTCGAAAAATATTTAGAGTTTTTTCATCTTGCACGACTTTTGAAAGTTTTGGAATGTATGCTCAAACGCACCTTATATTCTTTGTATATTTTTGTACTGTTTTCTAAGGCAGAAAACGATAACGACTGTATTTGAATTCAAATTTCTTCTTAAAATCTTCAATATTAATTTTAGATTTGAAATCATCAATTAAATGGCTTGGTGAAGTTTCATTTTAAATCAAAATGGTCTTTGCGAATGCCCACAACTTTTAATATTAGATCAAAGAAAGATCTACAGATTGGCTTTTATTGGGGGAATTACTTTATCTGGTAACAAATATCTGCACGAATAGTTCCGTAAAAACATTATTACTATAATTTGTTTAATAATTTACGCAATATACTTGGTAACTCTCCATATGTCAAGTAAGAGTTACTTTTATTTGTTGACTTATTTAAATTATTAGTTATGATTGGATTTTAATAAAAGAAAAATTAAAAATGGATTTAAATATTCGAATTATTGAAGCTGTTCGAAATTGTCCTGACTTGTATAAAGTGAATGGAATCAACCTTGAAAACAGAAAGGAAAGTTGGAGACTGTTAGCGGAAAAACTAGGAATGAAAGGTGTTTTGAGCGTAATAGAAAAAAGTGAAACAAATTTTTAAGAATTTCTCTTCAAAACAGAGCAATATTTAAAAATACGATGGCATTCTTTGGTGCAGAGATATCAACGCGACAATAACTTTAAATATCGCGATAAAATGAGATTTTTGCAGATTGTTAAACCTAAAATTACGCAGGCGAAAACTGAACCAGAATTTCTAATAACACGGAATAATCTTTTAGAAAAACCGAAAAAGGAATATGTTTTTGTAGAAGTTGAAAATTTTAAGAAATTTGAGACTGAACATCTATGCGTCGTTACAAGTGCAGCGCATAGTTCCCAAAAGCCTACAAAAGAAGAAAAATGTGTTAAATCCGAATCTGAAATCAAGCATTCTACTAATTTATTAGCAAAGGATGGGCAGACGACTCGAAGAGAATGCATAAATATAACTGCAACAACTTCTTCATTACCGATTAGAAGAATGGAACAAGAAACGCAAAGCAAAAGCGATAATAGATGTGAGGATGATATTTTTGGAGAATTAGTCACAGTTATGTTGAAACGTATGGGTGAGGACAAAAAACGTAATGTTAAAAAAGAAATTATGAACTTATTATTAACTTAACAAAATTATAAAATGAAACTCATTTAGTTGGAACCAATTTTAAATGTTTATTCAGTTTGTTCCACTTAAAACGCGTACTATTTCCACGGCCTTGCCTGTGCAAGCAAAAATGCAGGCCCTTTCTGGCAAATGTAGCAAAAAGGGTATCATATGCAGAACCAAAAATATTTTTAGGGAAATCAAAGAAAATAATGCACACAGGGAGCACAGGTCGCCACATATCTCAGAGGACATATAAATCTGAAATTTTATTAATATAAAAACGAAAAAGGGCGATAAATATATTGTTAAAGAGTTACAAGTTTATCTACACATTAAAAGGAGGATAATCTATGTTCAAGTTGTACTAGCGGTAGTGGAAAAATTATAGCTCTATTCCGATAAGCAATTAAAAAATAAAAAAAGTCTTAGATAGAGGCATGCCTATAGTCGTCGAGAATGTATCTGCTTAATACCCGCTCTTATCTGTGGGCCGTAATTTCTTTTTCCTTTCCAATTAATTTGGTTTGGTTTAGTAATAATAACTATATAATAACATTTTCTAATATAATTAGTTAATTGAGGTGCCAATAAAATTTTAAAGTCTCTTGCGGCAAAGTAATTAATAAATAACTTCTTTGGTGTACTTTGGAAGTAAACGTAGACGTAAACGCGATAGCAATTATAAGTTGTGGACGGATCTGATGGCCATTTAAATCTACCGAAATTACCAAGTGTTTTAATACAGTGCGGATATTCATTCCACAACCTAACGGCAAAGTAGCCGCGATGTTATCATCAGGCAGAATTAAACGCATCGCCTCTACCGATCTACCAAGCACCATTTTCTCATGTAAATAACCAGCGGATGAGCTTGTGCAAAAAAAAGAGTAGAATCCAGTTATTGAGGTATGTTTGGAGGTCGGAAGCAAGAATTGAGATATTCTTTCATATTTCCATTTATTAAAAACGTATCCTGCACAGATGTTAGTAAAGCCTTCCAATCCATCGCTAGAGAGAAATATATATTTACATAATAAGATATAAGCGGCGCGACGAGACCTTCAATGGGCCTCAGTTTAGTGATAACGGGAACATAAGATGAAAAAAGCCACATCTTCCTCAAAATATGATGTATACGCATGGCAATAATTGGCATGAATGATCCACAGCTCTCATACGGGAATTGAGCTTATAACCAAGATTAGATGCCTGACAAACAAGTTCGATCTCCTCATCGCGCGTCTTAACAGGAGGCAGGGATTTAACATCATAACCAACTATGGCTTTAGTTTGTCTAGTATTTATCTTTAAGTTATTAGGATTGGACTAGAGAGAAATACGATCTAGAACTTCATTAATACGTTGGACAAGAGATAGATCTGTACTAAATTTCTATATGTAAAGCGTAGATGTCTAGAACATTAGTAAAGAATGAAGAGCTGATGGAGTAAGCGAAGAGTTATATTGCAGAGAAACAACAGCCATTAAGTAGAAACCGGCGAACACAGTTCTAAATCCTTGCAGTCGTTAAATCCTTTTGTTTACTTTCATTATTTTTTTACAGTCAATCCTGAATATGTAATACTTTACATTATACATTAGTCTAATATCTCAAGTCCTTTGCATATATGCATTTCTTTTGAGAATACATCTGATTTACCGATCGGCAGTGTATTAATATCTCTTTTGCTTTCGACGGCAACTGCGCCTTTCTGGCATATCATAATCATAATAAAAATATATTCAATTCTGTTAATAGCAGTATTAGTATCTAATATTTCTTTATTTTTTATTAATAAATGTATGTTTTCATATAAAATTTCTTAATTTCTTCAATTTTACAATATTTTTTATTAATAAATGTATGTTTTCATATAAAATTGCTTAATTTCTTCAATTTTATTTTTTTTAATTTCATTAATAAATAAATAAATGTGTTCGTTCACATATCAATCAAAGTTTTTAGTAAAGATTCCATACAGCAGGAAACAAGTGGCCTAGAAGCATAAACAAAATAGATATGTTGCGGGAAGAATTTTTCCGAGCTGTTGTTTATATTCATAGAAAGGTATTTAGGTTTTGTTCATTTTCATAGAAAGGTGTGCGTTTATTGTTTGCTTTCATAGAAATGTGAGTAACTTTTGGTTCGTTTCATTCGTTTCGCATTAACATTATAAATTTCACATTTATTAAAAACATCTCTGTGCTCTCTGTATTCTTGGTATGGTACTTTTTATGAAACATGTGAAGAGGAAAATAGAATAACGTACCTGTGATAAATCTAATATGAACACTATTGTCGCCAAAATGCTAGATGACTGTTATCAATTGAAATGCCGACGGCAAGTTTTTATTTTGCAATGAATATGTTTAAAACAAATTTTTTTACTTATAAAGCTGGCGGCTTTGCAAATTAAACGATCTGGCAATTTAAGTTGTTAGTTGGGCATTCAACCATTTTGAGGATAGTATGCGCTTTGTCAAAAAAAAAAAACGTAAAGCATAGAATACGTATTCTAAAAGTTTTATTACAATATATCATTGCACCATAACTCTTAATTAATTTCAATTAAGTAGTTGTTAGCGAGTAACAAAATTCGAAGTTCGCTCATTTATTTACTCTCTAAAGTAACAAAATTCGAATTTCGCATTTTAACAGAATTGAATCTGTGTTTGACAGAATTGAATCTTTGTTTTGCCGACGGCCTTGCATATTAACACAATTGAATCTTTTTTTCCTGTTAAGTTGGGCATTTAACATAGCTGATTGGCGTTACCGTTTAAGTTGTTAAGTTGGGCTTTTAACCATTTATTTATTATAAGCGACTCTGTGCTTTGCCTTTCAGCAGGGAATTTAGCGACGGCTTTGTTTAATGTGATAATAAAAATTATGCCGGTCTAATTTTAGGCTAACTTGTAAAATTATTATTATTATAAATTTAGCCAGAGAATAAATTCTTTTCTCTTAAAGCTCTAGCATCAAAAAAAACTCAACTGCACTTGAGATTTGAACCCACGACATTGAATTGAAAAACAAAGAAATATTAGATACTAATAATGCTATTAACAGAAGTGAATATATTTTTACAGGGTAAGCCAGGATCTCTTGGAGAGGTTTTTCTGTAAGATGGCGCCATCACACAGAAAACGCACCAAATGGGCGGTGGAAATAACGCAGCTGGTCGCACGGCTAATGAAATCGCAGAACAACCAACGATTACCATATTATAGAAAAGACGATTACACGGTGGAAGACCAGGCCGAAGAAGACTTTCTACCATTCGGCCTGAAAGGCGTGGTATTTGACGACACAGCCACCGACCAACTAACTAACAAGGAGCAGGACTACATCAAGCTGCTCGCGGACTACGGAATAGCTCTGTAGATACGTGAGAAGTTAGGATGCGAAGCATGCCTGAACTACCTAACGCTGAGAAAAGAAGATGGCTGCGAAGAAACGAGCGATGGCATCGTCGCCAAGGACAAGAGACTATGTCAACCTCGACCACGAATATCTCGAACCTGAGTTCCCAAATCCTGAAGTCTATGACGCTTGCGATATTTACGTCGTCGTTATGCAGAAAAATATAGTGGAACGGAGAGAGCGCGGTAAGCGCATGCAGGCAACAATAGTGGCACGCCTTGCCTTCTTCGGGGAAGCAGGCTCCTGTACTAACGGAATAAGCCATCGAGCAAATGTCCTCGGTTTCATCATCCAATTGACACTAAGAGGAAAGAACTGAGTGCAACCACCAGTTACCAATGTGTTATCGTTTTAAAGGTCCCGAAGAAATTTATCAAGGGAAAATTCGGGAAATGCGAGAACACCAGCAAAATGATGGTAATTAAATTGTTTAGAGAAGGAAAATCGAGCGGCGAATACAGCAAAGTAAAGCTAATTATAATTTTATATAAATATATTTATAAATTACTACATTTTTTTTCTAACTTACATGCTTATTTGTATTTAATTTTGGATAAAAAGACAAATATAAGCCGTTCAATGCCGCCCATAGGTAATTATAGGGCTAAGGTAATTATAATGTTACATATGTATATTTCCAAATTTCTTATTATTATTCCATTTTACATTAGAATAAAATCAAGTCCAGCTATCCGGTCGCCGCCTCATATCGATGAAAATTCGCTCTATACCAAAGGTAGGTTTGCATTTATCTTTACTTGTTATTATTACAATTTATTCATTTCTTTTCATTTTATTTTAGATTAAAGAACAAGAATACGTCATCTGAGAGTAATCCTTCTTTAGCCGCTCCCTCACAGTTACAAGGTTAATGTTATTATGTGAATCTCGATCCAGGCCAACACATTCGCGCTTCTCGAATGGTGCTGCGAGTAAATTGCACTTTCCCAGCTTTTGACGTGATCTCTTCGATCAAGTCTGAGCTTTGAAACCGTTCACGATCATGCCATTGCTTCTGCAGCGAAATTTTCAAAGACTCCGGGTCGACATTCTTGTTGATGTCTGCTTTTGTTTCATCACTTTTATGTTTATTTTCAGGATTGTCTATCATAGGCGCCTCAGAACTAATCACTTCAACCTTTGCAAACTGTGCGAAAGTTGCTTACCTGACGCAGGATGTCCTCTAGTCTTTTCCTTGATATTGCCAATCATATCCGACAATTCCCCAATTTCTTTGCCATTCATTTCTGCTCCTTCCTACAACTTACTATCGACCACTTTGCTATTTTAACCTCCAATGCCATTTTCAAAATCTACTAACATATTGTTATGAAATTCGCTTTTACTAAGATAAAGCCCGTATCACTAGATCGTGGTTATTTTCATCAAGAGAAATGCACTTCAAAGTTCTTTTATTTTACTACTTTGTCTTTCATAACAGTAGAAATATTTATCTACAATTTATTTTGGCTGCACTCTCAACTTCTACGTTCTTGCCATACTAACTTTACTTTTCACAAATATTCTATTTATATACAGTTTAACAAGCATACTTACTATACCTAAATTTATGGTTTTATTTCTAATCCCAGCCTGGTTTTTCCGCTAATCGTTTTCATCGGCCTGCACCTGCACGAGGCGCCTGCGAATGCTCAGTTGGTTTTTCCTTCTTTAGGGAATTTATTATTACGAAAATTACTTAGCTGATGTTAACTGAATTTGGGATTTTCGTAACGATATTATAAATTTCGACTTCGTTCTCTTTCATAGACTTGAGTCATTCTTCACTAAACTCTTTCAGCCTCACTCTGTTCTTGTCTACTGTTTCTATTGCACATTTACAAATAAGCAATATGCTACGTTATTTACATTTTATATATATAATAAAAAGTACAAATTTTTTTTTTACTTTTAGATGGATGACGCGATGTCCTGACAAGAAAATTTACATTATCATGTATGTTTGTAATATGTATTAAATTTTTTAACCGATTTCCACTTGCCCTTCAGAAACAATTATTGAAGATCTTTGTCGTGTTATGGCCGGCGTCTCCGCACAGAATATCGAGTTATTGTGGAGAGTAATTGTCCAGCTGTGTTAGCTGACAAGTATGTACACATTTTATTATACGAAGCTTGTATCCATTTTTTCATTTATATTTTTATATATTTGGTTTTTGCTTTGTTTTTCTTTTTTTTTGCTAAGTTATATTATTGGAATCATACTAAAATAAACATTGAGTAAATAAATAAATGAACACACAAACATATATAAAAAATATTTCATTTGCGAGTAAAATACTTGCAGATATTTTGTATATTAATGCTAATAATGTATTCAAGATCTCTGAAAAGACCAAATATTAGGCGTCTCATAAATTAAGTATATTCTTAGCCAGCTTGCGATTCAAAGTCGCTTGAACGTCAATCCATCCATAAACATATTTGCCGCGTTATTTAGAAATGCTTTGCTAAAAGCCGCGGACGAGTTTGTCATTAGCCAGAATCTTGAACGAGTATTGATCAAGGCCACAACACGAGGCGGTCACATTTGCCTTGACAATGGATCAGGGATTCACTACGAATAGAACATTAATATTTACTAAGTTGACTCTCTCCGTCATTTCGAATTTTTTCCAAGGACATACGCGACGCTAAGTTTGCAGCGCACCGCACTAAAACCACTGCAATAACGGGCAACGCAATGCAGCACTGATGCCAATAGAACTACAGTTCAACAATCAATCCAAATATCGCACGGAGTAGTTAAAACTATCAAATTATTGTAAAAGCAATTTATGCGTGCTTTCAAAGAACACATCCGGTCCCGTTCAGGATTGCCAAGACAAGTTATTATTAAATTAGCCAGGAATACATTCTAAGCCTAAAGTCGTAGCATCTGAGGCTATTAACCTTATTGAAAACTCTACCGTTTTAGTCGAGATCCTTTGCCTACTCGGCCACTCAGGCCGATTCTTTCCACTTATGTATGCTTTTTAAAGCAAAAAAAAAAAAGAAAGTAACTTTACAGTTTGCTTTGCAAAAATAATAACATTCTGTAAATGCTATTTGATATTTATTTTATATTTGCACACATAATAGTTTCTATAATAATTACATATAATCTGTAGTCACATGTAGATAAATACGATCATAATTGGTTTCGACTTTATACTAAAATATTTATCTTTCTTGAACAAAACATATACATATACACTAAAACCTTTCTCTATATCGTCCTTGGCCTTCTACTGGAACAAAAATTTTATTGCGCTTAAATTATGTAACAACTTGCTCTAAATAAACTTTTACTTATTATATAAATAAAATATTCCTTATTACCTTTTTCCCTTTTTTTTTTTATTGGTCCCTTTTAAATTATTGATAACACAATGCAAAAAAATACAACTGAAGTTAACGAAATTTTGATATGATTATCATATTCTATAAACATTATAACCCGTTCGAGAGACTTTTAACAAAATTTTAATTATAAGGATTGGGCTATAATTATGATAATGAGTTATTATATTGACAGAAAATCAAGTTAAGATCAACCCAGACAATAAAGATAAAATGTAACATCTTCCTAAGTTCATTTTGAAAAGATTTGTGATCTGAAATTGGTTCGATCGACACATAAAATCATGCATTAACTGGAACGTTATTTAATTATTGTTTTGTTTAGTATAAAAATTGCAAAAATTACGAAGATATGGTTGTCGTGCGATTTATACAAGGATTGTGGACAATTGTGTTTCGATTAGATATTTTCATATTTCATATTGTATCGTTTGTTGCTAGAGACTTATAATACATGCAAATTTTCACAGCTCTTTGATTTTGAATCTCTTGCCCATACACGTCCTAACAGACCTTTGACTTTAAGACTAGCCGAAGTCCGGGTGCCGCGGTATTTGCGTGGACTGAAAACATCCAAAAATATTTATATGATATATTATTCACTTTTAATGCATATTTCATAAATATAACCTGCTGTGTATACTTGCTGGCGGCGTTTGAATTTCGGTAACAACTTTCGCCAAAGGACCTAGAGTTGAATTAAGACTTGCATTGCCTGTTAAACATGCACCGCTTAACGGCGAACAAGCACGTCGTTTTGATTTACGTACGGAACGTTTTCTGAATAAATCGCTAAGAGGTAAAACGAAGAAGAATTTATTATTTACTTTTAAAAAAAAAATCTACGTTATTATCTTTGGCAAAATTTGAGCAAATTTTAAATTTAATATATTGTGCAAGAAACGGGCAGATGTGCCAAATTTCATCAACATATTTGGAAAGACAAACGGACAGGTGGGTCTATCTCAAGTCGTTCGGGGTATTGCATATATCCACACAAAACAAAACTGGAGCTAGTAGTTGAACCCAAGACCACATGGAGAGACAGCAAACGGACAGACAAGTTAGCTTCGATCGATTCGGTATAATAAAGAGTGTTTCTATGTCAAGTCATTCTAGGTGTTGCATAAATACGCGGAAAGTTAACATACCTTTGCACATCTTGTGCAGGGTATAAAAAGGGGTAAACATCAAAAATGCAATTTCTTTTCCTTATTCTCGTATTGTAACTAAACTTTGCGCATACCGTACGCTTCGATGAAAGCTTTATTAATATTTTCGTATAAATTTTTGTGTTTGCAGTAAAGTGCAGTTTTATGTATGTTTCACAAGCGTATGTATGTATGGGGTGCAGGAAAGCAATTAGGGATTCACTTTGCCGTTGTTAGCTTGGTAACTATTGAGGCTAATAATAAGTCAAAAATCTCAAAATAATGGAAATGATTATATAAATTCCGATTTTTTTTATTTAGAAAGGTTTGATATTTTTCACTATATTTGACGGATATTGTGGGATTTAAGGAAATGTTTTGATGGCATTTTTGTATAGCGTATATACATACATACCGTGATTTTTCAGGATTTTCCAATTTTAAACGGATTTGTGATAATAAGCCCACCAACAGTTCGTCAACGTTATGATTTATGCCTACCGACGTTTCTATAAACTTACAATCATAAGCCGTGGCCATAGCTTTTCCTTCTGGAAATGTGTTTTTTTTTTTTTAGTTTGCATGTGTCCTTTATATATTAAATGCAACTAAGTGCAATTGAAATTTACCTTCTATACTTACTAAACGGCTGCGGGCCAAGTCTGACTTATTTGCCACAAGAATTACCGCTTTCTGCGCAATATTTTGATTAGTCCATAAAATTTGTAAGATCTGTTCGGCTACGTTAAAACTGTTGCGATCTGCAGCAGAATATATGACACAATAACCGTGAGGATCATAAGAGTTCAAACAATCGTTCGGCTATAACGTATATCAACATATCAAAGAATACATTTCAAAGAAATCAAAAGAACATTTGGAGACCCACCGTCCTTTCAGCGCATGGATGATCTATAAAAATTAGTTCCGATTCTTCGCCACTTAACAAAACAGAAACTGACTTTTCACCAGAATCCGAATCATCTGTGAAAGTTAAACAAATTAAAAAAAATATTAACATACGATGTGTATGGTCATATTTCGGAATTAAAAGCAAATTGAATGAGTTTGAAAATGGGAGTAACCCTATTGTAATAACTAAAAAATTGTAACTGACGGTCGACTGTACATACTGGTTTAATGATAAAATTATGACTAAGTGTCGAAAGAAGGTAAATGGTTGATTTTATCTACAAAATTAGTGAATAAAATTTCCTCGTGTTGGGAGATTTTGGGAAAGTTTGCAAAGAAACTGAAAATAGTTTCCGGATTCTACGAAGGAAAGGGAAGGGAAAGGCGCACAATTTAAATTAATCATTTTTTAGATATCGAATGCACACTTCGACGTTATATGAGGACATTTCTTTCTGCTTCTTTCGACATTTTAATGCGCGCCTACTATTCTTTCTACACGATAGATGCGTTAGCAAAAACTTTGTGCAAAAAACCGTGTAAAAAAATCGTGTAAAAAAGATATTCGCTAAATGAAAAAATATTAGATTGGTTCCAGGCATAAAAAAATAACAGAAAATTCCAATAAACAATATTAAAAAATTCTTGTCATGGCTCAAATAAGAATTTATTTTGGGTTTGCACATTATAATCCATTCATTCATAATGTATTATGAAACATAAATCATAATTTGAAAAACCAAATTAAATTGCATAAATAATCCATTACATCTTTACTCTGTGCATATTTCGGGGAATCCCACTCATATATGCCTTTAATTGACATAATCCAACTGAATTATGAAAAACATAACGAGTAGTTACAATGCATATTTGTGAAGAGTGAGTATGAAAAAATTCACAGAAACATAAAAGTACAAGTAAGAAAGTTATATTCGACGCTATCCGAATCTCGCATACTCACCACTATGGTTTTCGCATTCTACTCTTAAAGTTCTCTTATTTGATACCCATATCGCGGATATTATTAAAAAAAATTAATCGCGGTATCTACCGTATCGTTTTAGAATTATCCCATTTTTAGGCAGATAATATATTTTTATTTAAGGATTGTACAAAATACTTTTAAACATGCGGTCTTGATTGCGTTACGATAAATAAGCATAAAACCTCAAAAAGTGAAAGAAACAAATTTTATTCCCTTGTAACTTTGTATGGGGATGGCGGATATTTTTCATTTTTACACGTACCGAGTAGAATGCTTCGTAAAATAAATGTGGAAAATTACAGGGTTCTAACTTTAATAATTTCCGAGTGTAACGAGTAAAAATTCAAAAATTATTATTAAAAAAAGTGGTGGGTATAAAAAAAAAAATTCATCAGAAAAATTTATTCAAAAACTCTGCAGGATCTTGAAAAATTAGGCTCACCTATACTAGTGTCATAGGCATGCAAATATTCCGAAGTCATAAACTGTGATACTAATGAGCTCTTCCCGACAGCTGTGGCGCCAAGCATTAAAACCCTAAAAGAATATAAAGGAATATAGGTTCGAATCAATCAGGCGAATGATAAACGGGCATGAAACTCACTTATTAGAAAAAAAATGTTCAATTCAGTGCTAAAGTGAACGAATATCATTTATATCTATCTATTCTACCTGTAGGGTCCGTTGCCCGGATTTGATGTACTGCTTTCTCTGCTTGAAACCAAACTGCAATTTGCTGAGTTTCGCGATGAATTTCCAGCAGGAACTCGGGTGGTGGTTAAGAGCTCGTTACTGCATTAAAGTTTTTTTAAAAGAGGTGAACAAAAATCCAAAATTTTAGTGTAGTATGTACCTAGAATTCGAGCTTGCTACGCTGTTATTTGACCGGCTTCTTCGACTTCTCAAAGAATCTCCACGGTTGATTACACCTTTTCCAGTGATAGAAAAATGCCTCAGTCTATAATATTCTTCTTCTACGCCAGTATTTGGCATTGAAGCCACTCTGTATGAGCCAAATATACATTATTTATTGAGTCAATAAATCAAATAATCGAGCGTTTTACCTGAACCGTTGTTGTGGTAAACACAGTTGGTTCGGCCGTCCCGATCCTCGACTGCCTAATGCCTTCACCGATTGCGAACGACTGTGATGAGGCGAACCGTAACTGTGAGTAGATCGAATTAAAAAGAAAATGTTCCTGAATCTTTTTACTAAACCAAAAAAAGACCAATTAGGATTAGTACGACGAGCTACTGCTCGAAGTACTTTAGAGTATACTCTCGTAACTTATTTAAATTTCCAAACAATTATACGTGTAATTAAATTGATATTTTCGTTATTACACGTTGCACCAGTTGTGGTGCGTTAAGTTTATGTGAATGTGTGTGGATGTGCGCAGCATCCCGAAGGATATGAGATAGGCGCACCTTTTGTTATACCAATCGATTCGGAATCAACTTCTTCATTACTTTCTGAATTGATTTAAACTTATCTGGCCATCTGTCGGTCTTTTTTACTCCTAACCACACTACAGGCCGCAAGTTTTGAGATATTTTACGAAGTTTGATACACAGACGTGTTTTGTCCCAAGAATAAATAGTATTGGATATTAATCGGTTCAGACCACTTTTCGACCACCTCCACGTAACGACTGATTTTGAAAGTTCGTGAAGTGAAGGTAACCATAACGTGGAATAGGGTGTTTTAAAATCTTTTGTTACGCAACATCATAACTAGGCGAATAGTTTATTTTGTAAAAGTTCAACGTGATTTATCATTTGCGAGCATACATCAATACGTACCGCATTTCAAAATCTCTCAACTCTTTAAGCGTCAAAGAGCTTGTCACATCTAGTAATTGCTTTATGTTATCGGCACGGCTTTGTTGTTGCTGCTGCTGTCCAGGTTGCAAATATTTTTTATTTGTAGACATAAGATTAGTGGTTTCTTTGTCCTGTTCAACGCTTACGAATTCATTCTCATTGCTTATTAACAAAGTTTCTACCGTGTTGTCTAAGCTAAGGGACGGCTGACAGTGGACAAAAGAAAGACCAGCAATTGATGATAATTTATTTTTATATATTTCTTAGTTTTACTTATATTTTTATATTTAAAATATATAATAAATACTGTTCCAAAAATAGATATGTACGTACGTACTTGTTGGACGACAATGGTTGCTCTTGGCTGTGTACAAACCGCTGTTTCCATAGGGTTGGCTGTCACATTAATAGATTCACCCGAATTTGTTCCGCTCACGTTTCCCAGGCTATTACAAGTTTTACTGTTCAATTGACATTTCCCCAAGATCTCATGTATTTTAACTGCGGTTTCCATTTCGTCGATTGCTGATGAATTTTTTGATTTGTAAGATTTTTTGCCTGACCTATTGCCATAGGCGTCTGGACGTAAATTTAGAAATGAAGCTGTCATGCATACGTTAGTTTTCGAAGAGTTTTTTTCTATATCATTGTTACTATCGTTTGGAATTGCGTTCACGTTGGAAGGGGATATACTTTGATTAAAGACTATATCGGCGTTGGAGCCGTGTTTTCGTGGCATTTGATCAAATTTAGATGCGATATCGTCAAATTTGTTAAGGTTTGCGTGGAATAACAACGAGCATTGGGAATTCGTCGGTGAAGTAGGCTTCGGTTGCGGATAAAATGCATCTACGGGAGGTAGATATTTTGGAACGATACCGTCTGATTTTAAGCGTTTGTTTCTTTTCCCAGTAAACTTTTTCTCCCTTTGTTCGTATTTCGATAGTAGTGTGTAATGTTGATAAATATCATTTGAATGAATTGTTTCCAGATGATTGGCTAATTTTCGCTCGTAAACAGAACAACGTTCAACTTCTTCGGATTCGCTTGTAGTAGATGAAGAGCTTAAGGCTTGATTTGCGGAATAACATTCCCGTTGTATACGTTCGTAATCAAGAGCTTCACGATCAAAAGGAAACATAATACATTCACCATCTTTAGATTTCGTACTGCTTTCCGACGACGAAGTTGATGAACTGTTGCGCTGATCAAAGTTTTGAGCAGATGACGAGCATAGTTTGTTATCAATTCTGTTTGTTAATGAATCATTACCGAAAAAATTGCTATCTTTTAAGGTAGGAGGCGCGGAATTAATTTTAGAAGAAGATGCTAGATGTTTTGGTCCTGTCTCGCTGATATCTGCAACAGTAGCTTGATCTTTAAGAGATATTGACGCTTTACCATCCATAGACGTAGCGCATCCATCGTATCGATGATGATTTTGATGCAAGGATCGTTTTTTACTAAAACTTTTCATTTTACCCTCTAATGTTGCTAATTGCATGTTCTCTTCCACTAGGTGGCGCGCATTTTCGCTAAATTGTCGGCATAACTTTTCGCGGTTACTTGCAGATTTTGGAGATGATGGTTTGTCGAAGCTTCCTGTCTGGCCACCAAGTAAAGAACGTGATAAGCACTTTTTATCAACTTCGTAATCATTCGCATTAGAATGTTTTGCAAAAGTGGAAAGAAGGGGTGTTGTTGATGACGGTTCCCCTGTTATGGACAGACAAGATTCTTGACTCTACGTAGAAGAAAATAAAACACCAGTAAATTCTATTTATATACATATATATATATGCAAATGTCCAGCTCCCTGAAAGCTGTGCTCGCAATTGCACTTTACCTCTATACTATCCCGTAAGTCATGTCGGGAATGTGATCCGGATGAGTGGGTCAGCTCTATTTCAGAGTCCATCTGAATTGCGGTAAGTAAAGGTTCTTCCAGCGAACTAAAAATTGTTTCACTTTGTCCGGAATTGTCACCTGCATTAAGTACATTATCTAAATTAGAAAGTTGAAGTATTGATTACATTAATAAGTATGGGCTAACCTAGAAAGTATTGAGCCTTCGGGAAAACAAAGATAATACATTAATTTCATTTTCTTCCATCTCATTTCGTGAAGAAATAGAGTAAAGCAGATTTTTGAACCCCCATAAAATATCCCCTCTAGCTTGGATGCGATATTTAATTGCAAGGTAGAGCGAAGATCCATTCAATCGGCATGTACGTCGTATATGGTAAAAATTTCAAGTCAAGTTCTTAGCAAGCGTTTCGGTAGCAAGCAAATTAACGGACAAATGCATATTCAACTTTTACTTTACTTAATTTTTATTTGTGGACGAAACATTGAATTAGTTTTTCCAGTTGTCGTGCACTCGTGTTGAAAGAAAAGCAAGTAAAAGGATTATAGACGCCCATTCAAAGCCTTACGCCACTTCGCCTGGTATTTCTTTTGGAAGTACATACAAAATTACACATTATTTCCGTGCAATGGAATATTTAACTAGCAACGGCTCCCACCTCCCCAAATGCCCTAACAGGGATGTGTTAAATTGTTAGCATTAAGATGTAGTCGAAATTGGAAGCCCACTCCGTCCAAATTAGAAAACATCAACTATTTTTGTGGACATCACATAAATCTATATGGGAATACTTTTCAAACAATCTAAACAAATTTAAAATCTGCTTTTAGGAGCTACTTTCAAGAATTTTTTAATATATGGTATGTTAGTAAAAAATAGGTATGGAAAGAGACTAGAAAATGTCACCTTCATCACGTAAGTCTACTCTGGTACAATGCCCGAGTATGGCTGCAACTGCAAAGAAGACGTAAGCAATCAATTCACATTTTACTCTGATCTTTGAACAACCCAATTGGGTATTGGGGCAAACTAAAATAAGGTTACCTCATCAAAACACAATAAAAGCGTTAAGAATCTCTTAAAACCTCGTCAAGTGAAATTAATTATCATTCCGTAAACTTAATTGCTTTGATTGAATGAAGTGCTTCCATAATATCAATATCAATATACTATAATATAGCGATTATATTACCTTTACATTTTCATTTTTAAACTTTCTCAAAGCTGAATAACGTATTATTGACGTGTTCAAAGAAAATAATCAAAATTTTGTCGCCCAAAGTCAAGACCGAGTTGATAAAGTAAAGTACTTTTTGTGCATGTATTTTTTGAACGGTCGCCACTACCCCGTATAAAGTGCATGCCACGATAAATTATGCTGTTGTATGAACGTTTGAATGTACACCCTTGAGGTATAAGGGGATATTAAGTTTCTGTGAATGACTCGTGATAGACATACTTTTTATTATACCGATCGGTTTAGAATCTCTTCCTAATTTAATTCAAGTGTGTCTGTATGTTTGTATTTGTTTTGCTGCAATGTGTTATGGTGCAAGGATGAACACTAACCGAAATTGGTCGGATCGCATCAATTTGCGGGCTCTTCCCACCACAAGTGGTGTAGGCTGTAAATATGTCTAAGTTGGAACCAAATCTACTGCAGTTGCTAATGAAAGTCAAACGATTTAACGTTTATGTAATAAAAATAATTGCTTAGCAATGTATTGAAATCTTTTCCAGAGAATGTGTTTTCTACGAAGAACGATGTATTTTTGGACAAAGAAAAACTCGCCACATATTACGTAAACGAAAATGTTCACGTCAGCTTTTCTAATAGAGATCTTTAGAGCCAGGTAAATGTGGTAATTGTTTGTTACCCGTTTGACAGGCGACAGTCCGTAGTTAATTACAATAAACAATTGCAGACTTGCAAAAATATTCGTGGTGTTTATGGTGAAGATGCTTTACAGAATATCTCTGGAAATTTTGATATTTGAAGAGCGCTGGTGGACCCATGGTTGATAAATTTGGTCAAATCTTTTAAAAACTGCACAAGACCTTTACGAAACCCAATCAAAAAGAGGCCGAAATCGTGTTTTGAATCAAGAGGAAGCTTGCTGGTTGGGTATCTGGTTGCTGGATGAAGAGTGAAATATTTAATGGACTTGTCTGCAAAAAGACGCGAAATGTGACTGCGATGAACAGCGTGCCGCATACGATATTAATGTGCGAAAAGACGATGCAAGAAGCTGCACAAGTCCTGAATTGACGTCAAGTAAGATTTTGCTTTATGTTTGGTGGAATGGAAAAGAAATTGTGCATCAAGCACAGCTTCATCCTGATCATATGAGTGACTGTACTCTATCCTTTCAACAACTGATGTGATTAAAGTGCGCAATTGGGGTAAAGCATCCGGAATTGACCAACAGAAAAGGCACCGCCCTGCGTCATAAGGACTGTGAAGTTTCGTACATTCGTATTATTTCCGCCGCCATTTATTTTTGGTTCTCCATAATTTTATTCATAGTACTGACTTGAAAAGAGGCCCGTAATGTCATAAAAAATCTAACAAAATAGCACGCATTTTGGTTTATTCGGCTTAAAATGGCTAATTTAAAATAAAAGAAAAATATATTTGCATTTCATTAAAAGAATTGAAACGAACTTTTCTGTTATTTCACCTGATAGCCCCGAAACGACATTTAGATTGGTTTGTAGAAACGTGACCAAATATATATATCGTTAAAAGAGCATAATAAAAATTATTTAATATGCGCACAAACATCGTGTCATCCACAAACAGTGAATAAAGCAATCCCACTGTTTGTTTATAACAATTATAATCATATTAACGCTACGAGAAGAGGTTACCGAAGCCCACCCACCCTTTTGTAATGATTAACATATGGCATTGATTTCCCCCGTTACAATTGGGATTCATATATTTTGACATTAACAATTAGGGAACGTTTTTATTCAAGTTTAATATTTTTTAGACTTTTTATTATAAATATGCTCATGATTCCGAAGCGAAACGCAACAACTACCGCTCACGTGCACACGAGATACATTAATTTCTGCTTCACATTAAAGATCATGTACGGAAATTATCTATGCTCACATAGAGGTGGGACGACTTTCAACAAAATGCGTATTACAAAGAGTTTGCGAAATCTCAGTTCGTGAGATTTAATCTACAATATGCACTTTTGGCCACCCGTACTACACGTATCTTTCAACGTTTTTCAACCCTGATCGCTGTTTGACGGTTGTCGAGACGAGACCAAAACCATAACATTCATCGTTCAACTATTCGACGTGTTTATGGATATATTAGTTTGGGGAAAAAGAAATCCATTATTTTTATATGAACTTCAGGATTTTATTTAACATGCTTCGGATTGTCCGATTTGGGTCAAATATGCATCGTTTTATTGTATGATTTGTTGCCATTTGAAAGGTAGCTTCAAAATGCCTCTCTCATAGAAGTCCTGGTCTCTATTTGCAAAAAACTCTAGTAGTCGATTTTCACAATCCTCCCTAGATTCCAATTTTTTATCATTAAAGAAATTTTGCAATGCAAGAAAAAGATGATAATCGCTTGGTGCCAAGTCCGGACTGTATGGCGGATGCATTAAAACTTCCCAACCAAGCTCCCGAAGTTTCTGGCGAGTCACTGTAGATGTGTGTGGCCTAGCGTTGTCCTGGTGGAACACGACACCTCTCCTGTTGGCCAATTCTGGCCGTTTCTGGTCAATCGCTATCTTCAAACGGTCCAGTTGTTGACAGTAGAGATCAGAATTTAGCGTTTGGCAATATGGAAGCAACTCATAATAAATAATCCCCTTCCAGTCCCACCAAATGCATAGCAAAACCTTCCTGGCCGTTAGTCCTGGTTTGACCACCGTTTGAGGTGCTTCACCGCTCTTTGGCCACGATCGTTTTCGCACAGGGTTATCGTATGTGATCCGTTTCTCATCTCCAGTCACCATCCGTTTAAGAGATGGGTCTATCTCATTCCGTTTGGCCAAGGCTTCACAGATGGAAATTCGATCCATCATGTTTTTTTCTGTTAATTGGTGTGGCACCCAAACATCGAGCTTCTTTTTAAATCCAGCTTTGTGTAAATGGTTTAAAACTGTTTTATGGTCGATTTTTAGCTCCTGGGCGATGTTACGACTGCTAACATGCCGGTCAACTTCGATCATTTCTCCGATTTTATCGACATTTTCGACGACCGGCCTACCTGTGCGAGGTGCATCGTTAACATCAAAAATTCCTGAACTGAATCTACGAAACCAAAATTGCACATAATTGGCTGTTACAGTATCGCAACCATAAACACCATTCACAATTTTAGCCGCCTGGCTTGCATTTTCGCCTTTGTCAAAGAAAAACTGTAAAATGTACCGAATTTTCTCTTTGTTCACTTCTATTTTTAACACGCTGTAACTCACAACTGAATGCACCAAACAAAAAACAGCAAAAGAATTTTTTTTACTGCGAAATGTCACCTTTCCAACGAGCATAAATCTGAAATTGTTTGATCGATACTTTACGAGAAATCTATCAGTACAGCCATCTACCGAAAAAATAATGGATTTCTTTTTCCCCAAACTAATACTATTTTTATACGCATCACCGAAGAAAGAGAGTTATATCCATTTTGTCAAAACGTTTACAACACCGAGGAGAAAGTTTCAGAGAACCCAGAACGTATATATTTTATTGATCGACATCAAATTCTGAATCGGTTTACGCATGTCCGTCCGACCATCAACATAATGTCTGTTATAAACGCTCTTCTTGCCGCTATCGGTTTTAAATTTGGTAGAGATAGTGGGAGTTGTTACACGTGGGTTGGCATTAAAAATGAACCCTATAGGTCGATGCATGCGCCTACAGAAGCACGTAAATCGAAAACACCTCTGTTTTTCAATAGGAAAAAAGATTGGCTTTCGAATTATTATTTATAAACTACAGTAGGTGAATGAACAAAAATTTGAACTATATTCTATGGACGATGCTGTAGTACTTGTGTAAAAATGGAAAACATTGACCACGCCGTCTCCAATATTATAGGGTATCAAAATTTAATTTTTCTTTTGTTTGTGCTTACAACGACCACGCGTGTACACAACTAGAACTGAGAATATCTTTGCTTTCCGTGTCGTTTGCCTGTTACTAATAAGCTACTATAGATAACCGACATTTCCACAAAATTATTGTACGTAAATAGAAAAAATTTAGCCACACCCACCCTATGCACTGTTATATTTTTCCTTTTTTTCAATCTTTAATAGGTGATGGATAAAAATAATTCGGTCGCAACCGAATATACTTTTCTTTCCTGTTAATAAATATTTACTCGATTCTTGCTGCGAATATATCCGTTTACTTATTACGCTAATAAATTAAATTAATTACCAAAATCTAACGAATCGACGGTTTCCGAGGTGTCTGTGTGCGTTATATTTGTGATCATGGTTGATGCTGAATCGGTAGATGTATTTATGTTTGCATCGGCAATCGAGCCACTTGAAGAGCCCATAACGATAACTTTTGGAACAGATGACGAAGAAGAGCAATTTTGTTTTTCTTCTTTTGCAACGTGATGTAAATTTGCGTTCGTAGTAACTGTTTTTCGCGCTACATGAGACATATTAGCAATATTTGAGGTTAGAATATTCTTCGAACTCCGTCCGCCACTTTTGAAATGTAAACGTCTCAATGCCGTTGCCGATGACGAAGAACTATTCGATACACCATCATTATCTGATCCGCTAGAACCATTTTCTCCATTGTCCATATCATTAACTCCATTGACATGCGCATTCAATACATTTGCATTCGGTTGTGCGATGGTCGGTGGTTTTGAAAACGTTGATTCAGCTGAATTGGTTGCATTTATGGTGTGAAAGCTCTTAATTTTGCTATTAGCACCGGTTAAGCTTTGATTTCTCAGAGCAAGTGCTACCATTGCAGCAGAACGTGTACTTCTAAAGCAAACTGGAGAACTCGCAGACGGCTTCGTCTTTGGAATACCCTTTGATGTGCCACCACAAGTCATGGTTTGCATTTCAGTAGTTAAAGGCTTTAGAGTCCCTTCTATTTATATATGTGTGGGCAAAGGTTTAGTTTACATTCAAAATGAATCAGTCATTTGATAGAGTTGATATAATATACCTTTTGTACAACGCTTAGTCGGCATTCCCACTGTTATCGATTGAATTTCGCATATTTTGTGCTCTGAAGGGGTAGAGGAGCAGGACGTAACTTGAACCTAAAGAGTTTTAAGAAAGAAAGAAAAGGCAAATGGGTTACATATTGATAAAAAACACAATAAGATAAAAATTGTAGTTATTATTGATTAAATAAAGAACTGTGTCACTTAAAAAAGACAGTAAAACGTGACACATCGTACTGTTCGCAATGCTCACAAATACGAACTATTGCCTTGCTTTCTTACTCTTGCTTGTGACATGTTCCGTAACTGGTAGGTGCTTTGACTATTAAATTTTATTATCATTGATTTTTATTCAATTTGTGGATTATATAACAAAATCAAAACTTTATCGCAGCCCTTCGATGTTATACCTGCAGCTATACGAACGGTGGATTAGATAAATCATGTATTTTAGATCCCGAATCTACTCATAAAATTACCAATTGTTCCAAAATGTATTGCATTATTGTTCGTCAAGAGCTAGTGGTAAGTATTTCTTTCTAATTAAATGCACGTATACTACGTTAGTTCCCTACTTCACTCATACTTAGAAAATTTAGTAAACATTCGCGGTTCTACTATTACTGAGGATGGAGATTCTTTATTGCTCTGCATTTAGAATATTTTTCGCTAAATTTGGCGCAACCACAAACGCCCAAGACTTCTTCAAAGCTGTTTCAATCGCTCAACAAAAAAGATTAACATAACAGAGATCTTTTCATTAGATAAAAGCGAAACTTAAACTTCTTGGGAACAATTTTCTATGCTTCTTTATGTTGCTCCCTCTTCCACTCTCATTATTGCTTATGTAATGCTGCGACGCTAATACGAGCCAAAACACAAGAAATGAGGAGATGCAAGGTAGGCAATGTCGTCTATGTTCATCAAGAATGATATAATCAGACTAACACTTTCTCTAACAAATCTCTAACATTATTAGAATAATATTATCAAGTCCCTCGAAGTATGATTTAGCTTCTACGACAACGTCATCATTTGATTCAAACTTTTGTTACCGTAGCATACTTTTGAGATTCGAGACAGGCAAAAGTTAGTTGTGTCTGTATAGAGGTTATGGTGCAACCATCAACTTGAGTCGGTGCCCAACGCGCGTTGGGGCTGTTTTGTCTATGCCTTGATATGCGATAATATGTGATAAACACACTCTTTGGATATATTCTTAGTCTCTCCTTTGCTGTCCATCTAACCTTAATTCGATTATCACCATGGGCCATTTTGAAGGAGGTGTTTGTCGTTATACAGAATGTTTATTGGCACCGAAGCTGATACGACTAAATCTTTATTCAGTTGCCTAATAATACATCGTCGAAAATGACTGCGTAGTTTTCCTGTACACTCCGTCCAACAAATATGTATTAATAGCCCGATACTCAATTTTCTTAGCGAAACGAATGTCAAACAACTACTATCTTTTCGAAAATTAAGATCTTATGACCGCATGCACAAATATTCTCCTAACCTTT